TAATTAAGCCGCAGTGAAAGGTTTACCCTTTGCACAGGGGTAAAGGGAGTCTTGAATTGAAACCACCCAAATGTGCAAATGACACTTGCAGACGTCTGTGAAACCACGCAGACACCTCTTCACTATGACATCGTCACCTGTGATTCTGATGGGTTTTTTTGACCAGCATGTTTTAGGTTATTATATTTTTAATTTCAAAGCAAATATCACTTAAATAGTTTGATATTACCAAGTATCTTTTTAATGTGAGAATTTAAGGAACATTTAGGAGGACATAAAAGCCACAATAATCAAAAGATATATACCTTTTTGTACAACGTACAAAATTTTGAGGCCAAATTCTGACCATACCATTGAAATGTTTCAACAGAAATCAAGACTCATCAGAGCAGGCAACGTTTTTCCAGTCTTCTATTGTCCAATTTTGGTGAGCCTGCGTGAATTGTAGCCTTTTTAATGTGAAAGAAATTTCCCCAGTAGTTCACAGAAAAACCCAAAAATTAACATATAACTATAACTAGAAGTTTATTCCCATGGCTGTATACATATAACTATTTTTTAATGATATTTAATAAAGAATATTCTAATAAAACTAACTTTCTGCATATAAATAAACAGCTTTATACATTTTTACCTTCCCAAAAATAAACACCATTGCCCATTTCCTCATCTCGCCAACGTCTTTCCAATTTCCAGAATGAAAAATCACATGATGACTCTCGAAATCTCTTGATAAAACAAGTCACACAAGTGATTGACTTGTGATGGATGGTGCTGTCATATGACGTGAGCTTGTGGGTTTAAAAGGTCAGAGCTGACATGCAAGTCTTTGCACAATCTTTCTCATGCACAAAACAAACAGCAGAAGATTTTTAAGCATCCATTTAAGCATGACTTTCAGTTTGAGAAAGATGTTTGTACTTATTCTGTTTTAACAGCCATTTAGGTAAAGGGGAATAAACATAGATACAGTTGAAGTCAGAATTATTAGCCCCCCACTGTTTTTTATTAGCTCCCCCAATTTCTGTTTAACGGAGAGAAGATTTTTTTTCAACACTATTCTGAACAGAATAGTTTTAATAACTAATTTCTAATACCTGATTTATTTTATCTTTGCCATGATGACAGTAAATAATATTTTACTAGATATTTTTCAAGACACTTTTATGCAGCTTAAAGTGACATTAAAAGGTTTAACTAGGTAAGGGTAATTAGGCAAGTTATTGTATAAGGATTGTTTGACTTGTAGAGTAAAAATAATAGTTTAAAAGGGCTAATAATTTTGACCTTAAAATAGTTTTTTTTTTCAATTAAAAACTGCTTTTATTCTAGGCAAAAATGGAACAAATAAGACTTTCTCCACAAGAAAAAATATTATCAGACATACTGTGAAAATGTCCTTGCTTTGTTAAACATCATTTGGGAAATATTTAAAAAGAAAAAAAATCATATAATCAATAATAATTCTGACTTTAACTGTATCTGTATTATCTGTATCTGTATTCAACTTTTATACCATAAAAAACTGCCATTTAATTGCAATTTAAATAAATGTTCATAGTATAAAAAAAATTGTTTCTTGCATTTTTACCTTAATGTTCAGGTAAATAGCCTGGCAATCTAACTTTCATCAGCACCAGCCTTTGTGGCCTATATATATATATTAGTTGAACACAGGTTTTAAAGCATTTTTCTTTTCTTCTATCCATTTTTTTAGTGAAAATGGTTTTCCTAATAAAGATGTATTATTTGGAATCAAATTAAATCGAAATTGAATAAAAAAAAAAAAAAATTAAATTGAAAAGTTTTAGGGGTGACGCAGTGGCGCAGTAAGCAGTGCTGTCGCCCCACAGCAAGATGGTCGCTGGTCTCGCCTCGGCTGGGTCAGTTGGTATTTCTTTGTGGAGTTTGCATGTTCTTCCCAAGGTAGTGTGGGTTTCCTCCGGGTGATACGTTTTCCCCCACAGTCCAAAGACATGCGCTATAGGTGAATTGAGTAAGCTAAAATTTTCTATAGTATATGAGAGTGAATGGGTGTTACCCAGTGATGGGTTGCAGTTGGAAGGGAATCCTCTGCATAAAAAATTTGCTGGATAAGGACTAAGCCGAAAAGAAAATGAGCAAATGAATGAATGAATAAAAAGTTTTATTACTCCAATCAGAGCTTTTTTCCCTGATATGGGCTGTTTGACATACTACAGTTATATATATATATTTATTTATTTTTATATACACAATTATGTCGTCAAACTGTAGTATAAACACAATATCACACTTGTAACAGTATGATATGGCTGTATATCGGCACTGGTGGGGGCACTAAGGCAACACACGCCTCCCACCAGTGCCGATAAACAGCCGTATCGCTCTGCTACTCGTGTTATATTGCTCATTTACATTTTTAATTATTTGTTTTATTTCGGCTAGAAAAAAATCGGTTGTTTTAAAGTCATTTTAAGGTCAATATGATTAGCCCCCCTAAAGCATTCCAATTGGCTACAGAAAAAAACCATCAAATGCAATAAATTGCCTAATTAACAAGTCTTTAAATTGCACTTTATGCAAAGTATCTTGAAAAATACCTAGTAAAATTTTACTGTCATCATGGCGAAGATAAAATAAATCAGTTATTAGAAATGAGTTAGTACTAGTACTAGTATATCTAGAAATGTGTTCATATTTCTATCTAAAAATCATATTTCTATTAAACAGAGATATGAACAGGGCTAATAATTCAACTATGTATATGTAAATAATATTGTCATTTAGAGCCTTTTTGCAAAGAAATTAAATTGACAAAAATAACAAAAGTTTTCAGTTGTTGTGGTGGACAATTAGACTTATTCCACTATGACATTCCACTATATAATAAAGTGAATACAGAACTATACAAATCTACTTTTATGTGTTTAATAACATTAGATTAGCTTACTCTGGGGTTCCTCTCTGAAGCGTCTCTGCATATTCATCAAAACCTCCAGATTTGAACATGGTTTATTTACCGAAACAGCCAAATTCCACCACACATATTGCTTGCCTGACTTTAAAGTTAAAACCACAGTAAATGTGCAGTCATATTAGCAACATTGCGCATACAAAATAACCCTGAGGTAAAATAACAGTGGGGTGAATAAACAACAACTCACAAATGCATTTTTTCCCAAAATGTGTAGAGAAACTGTACACGGCCACACCTTGTATCTTTCTGTCATTTCCTTTTTTTTAACGTTCCAGTTGAATCCCTGGAAAATGTATCACATACTGGCAAATCATTGTGAACCGTATTGCGCAATCCATTACAACTGGACTAATGCCAATAATAAATCAAACAACTTTCTAGCTCAAGTTTCTGGCTCAGACTGATTTAATGATAATATAAAATAACAAAAATAAAAAAAGTCAGCTAGGGTGCATAAATAATTTGAGTAAGAGATCCCTTATTTAGACATTACAGCAAATGTTAAGGTAATTGTTTTGTATAAATTCGCATTCAAACTGACATAAAGAAACTTGTTGAATTTTAATTGAGTACTTTTCAGCCATCATTCAAAAAATATCTAAAAAATTAAGCTCCATTAAGTGCATTTTGTGCTTCACTGAGATATGCAGTCTAAGCTTGCATCATAAAGGCTGCATCCAGATACTATTGGCCACTTTTGCCTTCAGAACTGCCTTAATCCTTTGAGACATAAATTTAACAAGGTACTGGAAAAAATCCTCAGAGCTTTTGGTCTATATTGACATGATAGCATACGCATTTCCTGCAGATTTGTCAGCTGCACATCCATGATGTGAGTCTCCTGTTCCACCACATCCCAAATGTGCTCTATTGGATTGAGTTCTGGTGAGTGTGGAGGCCGTTTGAGTACAGTGAACTCATTGTCATGTTCAAGAAACCAGTCAGAGATGATTCCTTCTTTATGGCATGGCGCATTATCCTGCTGTAAGTAGCAGAATATGGGTAAACTGTGGTCATAAAGGGATAGACATGGTCAGCAACAATACTCTGTGGTGTTGACACGATGCTCAGTTGGTACTAATGGGCCCAAAGTGTGCCAAGAATATATCCCCACACCATTACACCACCACCACCAGACTGAACCATTGATACATGGTAGGATAAAGCAATGCTTTCATGTTGTTGACGCCTAATTTTAACTCTACCATCCGAAAGCCGCAGCATCGAAATTCATCAGTTCAGGCTAAGTTTTTCCAATCCTCTATTGTTCAAGTTTGGTGAGCCTGTGTGAATTGTAGCCTCAGTTTTCTGTTCTTAGCTGACAGGAGCGGCACCCGGTGGGGTCTTCTGCTGCTGTAGCCCATCCGCCTCAAGGTTGGATGTGTTGTGTGTTCAGATATGCTCTTCTGCATACCTCGGTTGTAACGAGTGGTTATTTGACTTACTGTTTCCTTTCTATCAGCTCGAACCAGTCTGGCCATTCTCCTCTGATCTCTGGCATAAAAAAGGTATTTGCACCCACAGAACTGCCGCTCACTGGATATTTTCTCTTTTTCTGACCATTCTCTGTAAATCCTAGAGATGGTTGTGCGTGAAAATCCCAGTAGATCAGCAGTTTCTGAAATACTCAGACCAGCCTGTCTAGCACTAACAACCATGCCACGTTCAAAGTCACTTAAATCTTATTTTCCTCCATTCTGATGCTCCGTTTGAACTGCAGCAGATCGTCTTGACCATGTCTACATGCCTAAACTTTTATATAAGAATGCTCAAAAATTATTTTAATAACATTATGTGCTAACATTTACACAACTTTTAAGGAATGTTATACTGAAGGTTCTGGGAATATCCCCTTTATATTTATCTTTCACATCATTACCAGAAAAACACTTTTGTTAATAACTTTTTGTTTTCTAGTTTATTTCTATCTGATTTCACAGAAAAAATTGGTCATGTAGCAAAATACATGTAAACAGTAGTAAACAATGTTTCACAATCACCTCAGTATTTGCAAATATATCAACTGTTTCTGACTCAGAATTTTCTCAGGCTGATTTAGAAGTTATCTCTATTATCTCTATTATTAAGTCTATCTCTCTTTGCCGTCTAAATGATCTTGTTAGCACAAGACTGTGATGTTTGTATTAACCTGGGCATTTGTGTAGGTGGCGGAGAAGGTGACTGAACTTTGGCAGATTTAACATGTCTGCCATGATTTCCTTATAAAGTCAAGCTGTTAATATCAGTAGAGGTGGATTAATTTGCTCCATCAGTGGTCGTTGTGGTTTATCAGTCCCACTTTTCTCGTTCCACATGACTTATAGTAGTATTTTCACCATTAAAAGTGTCCTCTTTCATCTAAAGCTCAATAATTAAAAACAAATCACATTTGTTGAAATGTGAATGAAAAATATTAATTTTAATCTAATAAGTATTATTATTATTATAAAGAAGCTTTTAGCTGTGGAAATCCACTGTAATATTGATGTAAAAGCCTATAAATAAGCTTTATTTTTAGATGTCGAGTGATATTTTTGTTAAGTTCGGCAGATAAAAGGAAACTTTATACAATCTAAGTGTGAGTAAATAGTTGTAATTTTATGGATTAACTGTAACTCACCGCCTCATGTCCATTGAAACTGTGTATAATGAACATTTCCCGATTCAATAATGTTATCATTAACATTAATGTTTACATCCCGTCATAGTTTCCATCTCAAACACAGCATCAAAGACATGGTTGTCCATAAATATAAAAGTTTCAGGGGCATTTCTTCCATCCCAGAAGTGACGTTTTATTACTTTGTTTTCCCAAAAAAAAGAAAGATGACGATAATGATACTGATAATCACGAGCCTTTTAAATGAATTCTATAGAAAAAAAGGCTGCATGTCTTTGCGTGTTCAGTGTTCTCTTCAAACGCCTCTGCTAAACGTCACAGGCAGACTAGTTTAAAAGAAGTGAAAATGAAAACAGAACGCATTGGTAATGCACCACAGTGACAGAATGAACACTGTTAAGCTCTGGGTTACACTGCTCTGTGTCTGTGGAAGAGGGATTTTGAGTCTGGACTGTGACTGGACCACTGAGTATGAAGGTAACAACAGATGCTGTAAAGCCTGTCCTGCAGGTAAGATATCCATGATATTCTCTGATACAATATATTCTGAGGAATTCAGGATGAAACTCCTTTAGGTATGTTGATTGATTTTGATTGGTTTATTGGTTACAGAATTTACTCTTAAAGATTTGTGCTTTACATTATTTACAGTTGAAGTCAGAATTATTAAACCCCTTGAATTTTTAGCCTCGTTTATTTTTTTTTTTATCAATTTCTGTTTAATGGAGAAAAGATTTTTTCAACACATTTCTAAACATAATAGTTTAATAACTCATTTCTAATAACTGATTTATTTTATTTTTGCCATGATGACAGTAAATAATATTTTATGACACTTTTTAAGACACTTCTATACAGCTTTAGTGACATTTAAAGGCTTACTTAGGCTAATTAAGTTAACTAGGCAGATTAGGGTAATTAGGTAAGTTATTGTATAACAATGGTATATATATATATATATATATATATATATATATATATATATATATATATATATATATATATATATATATATATATATATATATATACCTTAAAAAGGCTAATAATTGTGACCTTAAAATGTTTTTAAAATTTTAAAACTGCTTTTATTTTAGCTGAAATAAAACAAATAAGAATTTCTCCAGAAGAAAACATATTATCAAACAAACTGTGAAAGTTTCCTGAATCTGTTAAACATTCATTCATTCATTTTCTTTTTGGCTTAGTCCCTTTATTAACCTGGGGTTGCCACAACGGAATGAATTGCCAACTTATCCAGCATTTGTTTTACAAAGTGGATACCCTTCCAGCCGCAACCCATCACTGGGAAACACCCATACACACTCACACCTCAGTCAGTTTTAGCATAATTCACCTGTACTACATGTCTTTGGATTTGTGGGGGAAACCGGGGCACCCGGAGGAAACCCACACAAACATGGGGAGAACATGCAAACTCCACACAGAAACACCAAATCACCCAGCTTATGCTCAAACCAGTGACCTTTTTGCTGTGAGGCGAATGTGCTACTGCACCACTGCGTCGCCATCTGTTAAACGTCATTTGGGAAATAATTTAAAAAGAAAACAAAAATCAAAGAAGGTTTAATAATTCTGATTTCAACTGTGTAATACTGACATCGATGGTTCCATGAATAACCATTAATATCCAAGCAACCTTACATAATGGTTTGTATGGTTTATATCATAACAGTCTTCTTCACACTTGCAATAGTATGGTTTTTAAAAGGATAGTTCACACATAAATGAAAATTTAGACATCATTTACTCACCCTTGACTTGTTCCAAACCAATTTGAGTTTTTGTTCTGTTAAACACAAAATAACATATTTTAAAGAGTGGTGGAAATCTGTAACCCCTGAATAATAATTGTTTTTCTCATTATAAATATCAATGGTTACAGTGTGTGTGTGTGTGTGTGTGTTCAACATAACATAAATGACTGAATAAATAAAAACTCAATGGGAAGTAAATAGTGGCATAATTAAAATTTTCAGGTGAGCTATCCCTAAAAATGCAAAAAAAAAATAATCTATTATTTACTAGAATAATGTTTATGTTTTGTTTATGAACTAATAAAGTTATTTTTAAAAAAGTGAAGCAAAAGAAAAGTTATAAGAACCATTTTGTACTACATGTTATTAATAATAATTATAATATAATATATAAGTATTTATGCAATGCAACAATATGCAATAATATAATAATTTTAAAAAAATCCATGACTGTTTATTATCAGCATTAAAGGTTCCACACTCAAAAAAAAATTTTTTTTACTTGTTCAAACTAATGAATTAAAATGAGCTGAAACAACACAATTCTTGAGATTTCATTGCGACAACTTGATTTTTAAAGTTTTTTTTTGCAAGAACCCTAAACATTTATTGGACATTTTCATTCCACACAAGGTTCTGTATTGTTCAGAAATGTTCTTTAAATGATGAAAAAGGTTACTGTGAGAACTTTTTGCTAGGTTATTTGTGTAACCAAAAATGATTATTCTCTGAAATCACAGCAAAACTTGAGTATTTCATGATATTGAAGTATGATGAAAAAAAAATAAAACACTTACAGTACTCAGCATATATGAGTACACCCTTTACAAATCTCTCTTTTAAATTCATATTTTTAATAGGAAGCTAGACAATATTATATTTGTGCATATACAATAGATAAGACAGTACTGAAGCTTATCTAACAAAATAACTTGCAATAAAAGTCCAAAAACGAGTACACCCAAATTTATATGTTATATAAAAATATTAAATATAAATTTAAAAAAAGAGGAAAAATCAAGGGAAGCAAAAAATTGAAAAATTTATTTGAAATTTTGTAGGTTGTCATTTATTTTTTTTATATTTTGCTTGAATTTAATTGTATTATGTTTCTACTTATGTATGTTTGGTGACTAAAATATTATTTTAATAGATATATCTGTTTAATAAATTTAATTTAATAAATGTTTTGTTTATATGCAGCAAAATACATTGCCTATATTCACTGAGAAATTGATTAAAATATTCATTTTTAAAATGGGGTGTCCTCAATTATGCTGAGCACTGTTTGACACAGATTTACTTTAAAGTTCATTATTTTTTGTATTGTACAGGCGAGTATCCTATATCGGCATGTTCACAAGACAGGACAGACAGTCTGTGTGAGAAATGCCCTTCAGATTTAACACATCTTTCAGCTGAGAACAGATGTTTCTGCAAAGATAAGCATTTATGCGCTGGTTATCAATGTGAAGATTGTCAACCCAGAGAGAAATGTAAACCTGGACAACAGCTGATGAGAATTGGTGAGCCATTTATTTCTATTTCATTCAATGAACTGACATGTGTCCATAGTGATTAATATTGAAAACCCGTCCTCTGGGTCTTTTTGGGGGGCTTTTTTAATAGTCATGCTGTGTAGGGTGGCAGAAAACACCAACTTAAATCTTTCAAATGTCTGATGTATTGCCAGGTAATTTTCATTTCAGTTTCCACTGTGCGCCATGCCAAAACAACACTTACAACGATGTTGAGGACAGCACGTGTAAACCTATTACAAAGTAAAGTGGCATATTACTTTTGTTTGTTTATAGACTTTAAAATAATAATGAGATCAGTTAACGAGTAATTTTTTTGTATTAGGTGTGATGGTGTTGGTGAGTTCTTCCCAGGAAACCAGACCCACAATGCAAATTGTGTCCCTGAAGAAGTCATTCCTGGTTTGTACTTTTGACTGTTGAAACAAACACAGTGTTGTTATTATGGTGTTTTCGTGCATTTGGCAAATTAATTTCAATTGATGTTATTTATCATTTAAAATGTGTTGTGTTTAATAATGTTAACTCATCCGTCTTTCGGATGAGACGTTAAACCGAGGTCCCGACTCTCTGTGGTCGTTAAAAATCCCAGGATATCCTTCGAAAAAGAGTAGGGGTTTAACCCCGGCGTCCTGGCCAAATTTGCCCACTGGCCTCTGTCCATCATGGCCTCCTTATCATCCCCATATCATAATTGGCTTCATCACTCTGTCTCCTCTCCACTAATCAGCTGGTGTGTGGTGTGCGGTCTGGCAGAAAATGGCTGCCCTCGCGTCATCCAGGTGGATGCTGCACACTGGTGGTGGATGAGGAGATTCCCCCTATTGTGTAAAGCGCTTTGAGTGCCCAGAAAAGCGCTATATAAATATAAGGAATTGTCATTATTATTATTAACTAAAGTTTGGGATCAGTAAGCTTTGTTATTGTTTAGTCAAAAAAAAACTGCATTTATTTGATCCAAAATACAGTAAAACAGCACTATTAATGAAGCTAAATGGTTTCATTTTTCAAAAAACACTATTTTGTTTTAGATATTTTAACATTTATTCTAGTCACGTGATGACATAGGGAATTTTATAGCATCATTACATTTGTCTTTAATTTCACATGTGTCAGAATCGCAGCACATTATTAATATTTTTCAGAATTCATTCTAATAAGTAGATCTGCTTATTATATATCACATATTCTACCAGAAACGTACATTATCTGTCCCTGAAATAAAATATAAATACAGTCAATAAAAGTATTTCCGCTTAAAAATTTCTTAAAAGGACTGATGGTTGATTTCTGTCAGTTGTTCTGTAAAATAATATGTCATTCATTCGATCCATTTCATTCGATGTTTTTCTTTATTAAAAACACAACAAATTTACAAACCCTGCCATTGTCCTTGTCCTCAGCTCAAATGACCCTACAGTTTTAATAATTTTGTTATGCTAAATACTGTTATTTAGAACAAAATACTTTAGGAATAGCACGTTTAGGTTGCCATCACTCATAAAATGATTTAAAAACATAAAATTATCAATAAATTCTACAAATAAATACTATTTTACAATTGTCCCAATGTTTCTATCAGTCCTGTTACATTTGCATTAAATTTAACAAACAATCCGTGCAATACATGTTTAAGGCTATGACTTGGAAGTGACATTATTTGATGGAGGAGATGCTGACTGTGATCAAGGATGCGTTCTTTCATTGAATTGTATGATTTTATGCTTGTTTTTGTATGATTTTTTTGAGGATGACAAGCTTAAGTGAGGCCCTGTCACATTTTTTGAAAGTGAAAATGTACGTTTCTGGTAGAATTCAATTCAGTTCAATTCATCTTTATTTTTATAGCGCTTTTGCAAAGTAGATTGCGTCAAAGCTGCTTAACATTGACGTTCTAGTAAATTGAAAACGTGTCAGTCCAGTTTTCAGAGTTGAAGTTCAGGTTAGTTCAGTTCAGTGTGGTTTAAACTTGACAAAGCCAAAACGACATAAAGCTTTTTTTAAACGTATACTAAAATTTTGAGCTTTATTTATTAGAGAATTCTTTTAAAATGTATCATCAGAAATTTCGTAAGCAGAAAAAATATTTCAGGATTGATCATAATATGAACATAATATGAGCTGCTTGTGCAAACTACTTATTTAAAAAGAGCTGAATCAACACAATTCCTAGGTTTTTTTGGGGGGGGTGGACAACTTAATTGTTTTATTATCTACTTTAATTTAGAAAAACAATTAGCTAATCAATTTGTGTTTGTAGGAATTGTGTGGAATCCAGCATTTTATTTTACAATGAACCATTACTAAATATTTATATCAACTGATAAAACCAATGATAATAATGATCATGATACAGCAGTAAATGTGACTGAAGGATTGTGTGGCTGCTATGAAACTATGATTATAAATTCAGCTTTGAATCACATAATGTAATAGCTTTTAAATATATTCATATTCCCACAGATACTACAAAAAGTCCTCCTGAACAAAACAGGAGCCAGTATTTTCAATCTTTGATGGTGGCCTGTATAACCATCACAGTCTTGACCTGCCTGGTTTTCATCACACTTAGTGCTTTTCAGATTTTCAAATACAAGACGTTCATAAAACGTAAGTGACATTTTGTATGTCTAATTTCTTATTTCACTTCCAAAACTCAAGAGTTACAATCTTATTTCTAGCCCAAAATGTTTAACTGATCTTGTTTTAACAATACAATACTGAGCAAGATCAGATTGTGTAAGATTATTATGATGGTTTTAAGATTATTTATCTTTTTCTTGCTTTTTTTAGTAATGCTTAGTTATTTTACCTGAAAATTTCGATTATTTACAATCAAAGACATTATTTAAGACCAGTCTTGTGTTTTTAAATTTTTATTTTAGCTTTAATAATATATTTTAAGTTAGCATATTAAGAAAAAGCTTAATCACCCTCATATATTTACTTAAATAATACTTTAATTTTGCAATACATAAAAGTACATTCCATGTTTTGTTGCTGTAAGCTTGCAATATGAAGAAGCAACAAATTATCATTTTTAACTAATGCCAAGTCTTATTTTGAATAACAAATGTGAACAATATGCAAGTCATGATTTAACTAATAATCTTGTTTTAAGTTTAAATGCTTTGGCTCATTTTAGGACAGAATATGTGATGATAATTATTAAATTAAAAGGGGTTAAAAAACACTTTTTACACAAAACAAGAAAAGCAAACCATTTTAAAAAGCTATTAATAAGCTAGTTTTAAGATAATTAGACAAAATAAACTGCTTGGAAAAAATGTTATTCACTGTTAGCGATTTTTCGAAATTACACAGTATTTAACTGTAACATGAACAGAACTTTACTGTAGGATAGTTATGCGGTATCTTACTGTATTTTAAAGCTGCATTTTGAAAAGTACTGTATGTTTTACAGTAAAGATAAAGACACAATACTGTAAATACATATACAGCAGGATAAATGGTGCTATAATGCAAATACAGTATTTTTGCTGTAATTAATTTACAGTAAGTAACTGGCAAAATTAACTGTAATATCAGAACTTTACTGTAGGACAGTTATGCGGTATGTAACTGTATTTTAAAGCTGCATTGTGAAAATTACTGTATATTTTACAGCAAACATAAATACAATACTGTTAATACATATACAGCAGGATAAATGGTGCTGTGATGCAAATACGGTATTTTTGCTGTAATTGATTAACAGTAAGTTACTAGCAAAATTAACTGTAATATGAACTGAACTTTACTGTAGGACAGTTGTGCAGTAAGTTACTATATTTTAAAGTTGCATTGTGAAAATTACTGTACATTTTACAATAAATACAGATACAACACTGTAAATACATATACAGCAAGATAAATGGGGCTTTAATGAAAATACAGAATTTTTGCTGTAATTGATTTACAGTAAGTTGTTGGCAAAACCAACTGTAATATGAACTTTACTGTAGGACAATTATGCAGTATGTTACTGTATTTTAAAATTGCATTGTGAAAATTACTGTATATTTTACAGTAAATATAGATACTATACTGCAAATACATATACAGCAAGATAAATTGTGCTATAATACAAATACAGTATTTTGCTGTAATTGATTTGCAGTAAGACACTGGCAAAATGAACTGTAATATGAACTGAATTTACCTGTAGGACAGTTATGCGGTATGTTACTGTATTTTAAAAATGCATTGTGAAAATTACTGTATATTTTACAGTTAATACAGATACAATACTGTAAATACATTTACAGTAAGTTAACTAGTGCTATAATGCAAATACAGTATTTTTGCTGTAATTGGGTACAGTAAGTCACTAGCAAACTGCTGCCAGTAAGTTACTGTAGATTCTGCAGGAAATTGTTAACCATGTAATACTTGTTACCTTTTTACTCTGTATCTTTTTAAATCATTCATTTATTTCTCCTATTTAGATATTTATTTTTTGCCATACATTAAGCCTGGGTATAGTGTAAATCAATAAAACTTACATAAAATACAAAATAATCATAATAATAATTGTGGAATCTACTGTACCATTGTATGATGAGGAATATGCTGTGCCACTACATAATTAAATAAGAATTGTTTTATAGCACTGACAGCTATGTTTAATGGCTAACAAATTAATTTCTGGGAAAAAAAGCATGTTTCATGTAATGAGAAGTGTTTTAGATTATCTGTGTCCTAAATAACTGCATTTCTCCACAGTAAATCGCAGTAAACTGTGCACTCATACAAGGGTAGTGTCCTCAGAATCATGCAAACTCTCTAAGGAGGAAAGAGGCGAAAGTGACCATGAGCACAAGATAGACCTCTCTGAAGACTGCTGTGACCACAGCTTTCCTTAAAAACTCACGACAACTGCAACATAAAGCTGAACAAGATTGATTACATAATACACCTTAACGATCATGTCCATGCAGGGTCTATTTGGACATGGACTTTATTGATCTGCACAAAAGCCCTCAGAAACTGATCCGCTTACAGAGAAGTCAGCAAAAAAGGTGCATGTTTGCATTAGCTCTTTGACATTGAGTTATCCAATTGTGTTTTCTCTTCGTATAGCACTGTAAAAGACAGTAGCTTATACTCCAACATATGGAACTATTGGCTGAAACAATGCCAAGCTTTGTACTGAACATTTTGTATTTTCATCTGTTTTTATGTGAATTATCATGAGATAAGGTTTACTCTCTGCTTGCATGCATAGTCTTGCTTTTCTGCCTCGTTCATGTCTGTTGATTGGCCAGTAAAGCACTATTATTCACTGTCTTGTATTAACACAAATCAATGTTCTTTTCGAAATGTTCTTTTCATTCTTTCTTTTGAAAGAATGAGAATAAGCTGTGCCTAATTTCCTGATGCCAGAAATGTGACTTTGCATACAGGGAGTAATTTATTGTTGTGTATTTTGTAAATGCTAATTCAAACTTGAGTCCTTTATGAGTTCTATAATGGAGGCAACCTGTAAATTTAAATGTATCATAGTAAAAAAATTACCATATGTTTTGGTGTATGGATTCCATTTTTATAATCATTTTTGACTACAAATAACATGTTTATTGTAGTGTAGAAAAAAAATTGATGCAAAAAATATAGTAAAACCATGGTTAATAATTTTCTGTGAGCTATTAATTAACTGTATTAAAATACAGTGCAAAATGTACTTTATGTACAGATGTAATTAATGTACAAAAATAATGGATAGGTAATTTAGCAATTAACATCGGCTATTTAATGTTTGAATGGTGTGACCTAATATTCAATAAACTAACATTGAGAAAAAGTAAAAAATGCTGCAACAGGCTTTTTATTAACTGTTAAAATAAAACAATAGCTAGCTAAGTTAGCATTTAACGTTGTGCTATAAAATGTTTGAACAGTGTGACATAATATTTAATGAACTAACATTGAGAAACAGTATTAAATGCTGCAACAGGTTATTTATTAACCATATTAGTTAAAATAAAACAATAGCTAGCTAATTTAGCATTTAACATCAGCTATTAAATGTCTGAACATTCATTCCTTCATTTTCTTTCAGCTTAGTCTCTTTATTAATCTGCAATTCCATAGCGGAATGAACCACCAACTTATCCAGCAAATGTTTTACACAGCAGATGCCCTTCCAGCTGCATCCCATCACTGGTAGACACTAGGGATGTAACGGTATCAGAATTTCACGGTACGGTAATACCTCGGTATGAATGTCACGGTACGGTATTTATTGAATCATTTACAGGAAAAAACAAAACTTATGAAAATACTCCAAAAAAGTGCCAAAAGTGTCAATGACATACAAATTAGCCATCTATCTGTAAGCTTTGAAACAGGAACTTCAATTTTAATAACAAAAAACTATTAAACCATGTAAAAAAATAAAGTTTCAATTTAGTATTGTTGAAAACTCATCACATTCAACATTTAATCACACTCAGCCCATCTACCCTGATGAGAGCTCTGCTAGTCGGACTTCTCATCAAGCATCTCCCGCTGGATCTAATCTCACTATATTTATTAAACGGGATATTTCATTTATCTTGTTGTCTTTATCTAACGACATATTCACTGACTTTGGTCATTGGAATCTATTACTTGTTCTCAGGTAACGTGTTTTGGCTGAGCGCAAAGATAAGTTAATGATTAATGTAACCACATACATTCTGTATATTGACTGATCGCTTGCCTTTATTTCCTATAATGTATAAACTTATTGTATGTTATACTTTTAAAATGGCCATTATCGATTCTTAAAACTGATACTCAGCAAAAGAGAGGCTGTGTTTCGTATTTTCACTGAAATTGAAAGGAGGCAGTTGTTATCGGCTCCGTTTTGTTATAAATATCCACACAGTGAAGATGACGCTCATCTTATGCAGCACGGCGCCTCAACATTTCTGCTGTCTAAGTTGCTAATATTAAAATTAAAATAGGCAGTTCCTTAAATCATGTTTACATTTTATTGTTGAGAAAGTGAAACAACGAAGCCAGGGTGATGTGAATGAAGTTATAAAGTACATGGTTCCCTTTGAAGATTTACCCGTGTCCTCGGTATAATCTGCTTTTCCATATCAAACTGAGAAGAAGAGACTGCAGTCTGATCAAACTTGCGAAGTCTGAACTTACACGGAGATAATGCAGGACTGAACTGTGCGTGTAAAGCAGGTCGCACACCAGAAGCGACGCTCGGCGGCGCGCCGCGCAGCGCCACGCAGCGCTATGTATTTTAGAATTCTAATCATAGGTTTCTATCAGGATACACAAACCGGCGCCGCAAGTCGGCGGCTGTCGGCGGCGCCCGGCGACGGCTCAGGACTCAGTCCATTTTTCAGCCACGCCACAGAGCGCCATCTGATTAGTTTCATGTTAAATATCATTCGAATGTGCGCGTCTGGTGTGCGATACTTTAATCTGTCATGTACGCGCCGTGTCGCGGCGCCGAGTGGCGCTTCTGGTGTGCGACCTGCTTTAGAGTTTTCCAGCTCTTTTCATCCCCGCTTCTAGCAGCACACTCCATTTCCGCATTACTGGATCTGTAGCAATGACTGTAAAAAATATGGACGACGCGACAGCCCTTTTTCCCATTGAACGCCTTGAGGGCAAAACGCCTGCTTGACGGGCACAAACTGTCGCAAAAGACTGCTGAAATTGGAGCCAGACATGCGCAGAAGGATTGTCTGATGGAGCCAGAGGAGGAGCCGCGAAAATGAGCAGAGTCGAGCTTCCAACCAAACGCTTTATGTAAAATCAACTACGCCCCCCGAACTTCTCAGCATGCGTTTGCTGTCATATCAACACAAATGGATGTAATAACGTTAACAAATATGAGGGTTTTATATATTCAATCGCGCCAGCTCCAGGCCGCATCGCATAACTTTCTCGCGGCGTCGCGGGCTGATTCCGGCTCGCATGCGGCAGCGCCTGCTCGCTCGGCCGCCGCATCTGGCTCGATTGACTCGGGCTGGAATTGGGTAGTGAGTCCAGGCATCCGGAGTAGGTCCAGCAGAGGTAACATTAGTCAGTCTGAGCTCTAAGAGATAAGTCTCCGGCAGGCGAGAATCTAGCCGGAACTGTGTTTTGCTATCTGGGTGGCTAGGCGTGTATCAGCAAACTAATAAAGCCCGAAAAAAGCCCTGAACTTGGCGAATAAACAGTGTTCCACCAGGATCATGTATGTCAGAAACTATAGTTTACTGCTGAACTCATTTTGTCATGGTAAAATAACACAGAAATCGAATAATAACATTTCAGTCTACTTCAGTCTCCTGCCGAAGCTCAGACGCCGCGCTTTGAGAAACTGTCAATAACAGCTGTCAATCACGATGACACGCCCAGCATTAAATTACTGCTAAAAACAAACTGTTTACAAAAATGAAGATCTGCACCTATTTCAGCACAATAACCAGTGCCTTAATCGACCAGAACTATCTTTCGGGACATTTTATTGCAAGTGTAACATTTTTTTTTATTTGGGCTCAAGTCTCCTTCATTAACACGGAGGAGGCGGGCTTTATGACTTGTACTGCAGCCAGCCCCCAGGGGGCGATCTAACGGCCGAAACCTTCACTCAAACGTAGGCTTGCGGCACACTTGATCTGTAGCAACAACAGACCGCAAGGGATTATGGTCAAGCATGGGCTGATGGCAATTGTAGTTTTCGTTACCTCCCGTTCGCTTCATTCGCCTGAGCAAATTTTCTCAGAAGACCTATAGTTTTACCGAGTCATGCGACTTCGGTAATATCGAAAAAAATTAATATTGCGGTATGACGGTATTTACAATACCGTTACATCCCTAGTAGACACCCATACAAACTCATTCACACACATACACTACAGACAATTTTAGCTTACCCTTTTCACCTATATACCGTCTTCGGACTGGTGGGGGAAACTGGAGCAGAGGAAACCCACTCGAACACCGGGAGAACATGTAAACTCCACACAGAAATGCCAACTGAACCAGCCGAGGCTCGAACCAGCGACCTTCTTGCTGTGAGGTGATTGTGCTAACAATTATGCCACCGTGACGCCACATTTGAACATAAAACAAATTTAAAGGGCTAACAGTAAGAAAAGGTAGGCCTATATAATGCTCCAATGGTTAGGGTATTTATTAACTATTTTAGATAAAATAAAACAATAGATGGCTAATTTAGCAACTAGCATCATGCTATTATATGTTTGAACAGTGTAAATGGTTAAAAAAGATTAGTAGCTAGACTATTTATTAACTGTATTAGTTAAAATAAAACAATAGATAGCTATTTAAGAAACTAACATCGGCTATTAAATTTTTGAATGGTGTGACTAACATCAAGAAATGTTATATATGTTATAAAATGTTACAAATATATATATATATGTAGTTTTATTAGTATTTTTATTTAATGTTTTGAAAAATAATTTAAATCTTTGCAGACTATAAATACATATGTACTATATATCATTTATTTAAATATGTGGGCAACAAATTATAGATTCATTTTATTTAAAAATTATTATATTATTCTTAGTTTTTAAATTCAACTATAGGGGTGAGGCCAGGTAGGGGGCCTTACAAGATAATGTGCCCAGGGGCCCCTGAGTTCTTAATCCGGGCCTGCTTAACACACTATCACTATGTGTTGATTTATCTTTGTCACAATGTTTTCTTCATGACATAAAGATCTACAGGATTGACATTTTAAAGTGGACTTTCTGAACCTTTTCGCTGAGACGAGTTGGACTTTCCATGGCCACTTCAAGGTTGCGCAAAAATAACGCAGCTTCGACCTGCTTGAACACGTTAAGTTCGCAAACGTTTCACAGTCATATGACAACGGCCAGTTCCTCCCAAACACTACGATTCTGGTGGTGGTGAAAAACATTACAAACAGCCGAAAACCACCACAGATCAGTCAAATCTAGCATCACAATGTTGGCACTCATTAACCGTCTCCTGGACTGGTTTAAGTCACTCTTCTGGAAGGAAGAGATGGAGTTAACCCTCGTCGGGCTGCAGTATTCAGGCAAAACGACATTTGTTAACGTAATCGCGGTGAGTGTTTTGCATTTAGCATGAGCCACTTCAGCTAATACAAGAGACTGCATTTCTGTCTAGTCTTCCAGGCGATTAACACACCTGCTTTACTAACAAATGTCGGAGATAAATTAGCACATAATTACAGTATATGCCTGGAAAAGACTTGTTCGGGACTACGTTTTTGGAAAGCTAACCGGCTAACATTAGCTCCCAGATGACTATCAATAATGTGATTGCGCAGTCCATGGGTTCTGTTGAAATCTGTTGACAGTTTATTGGATACATTTAGTGTAATGATCTGCACACATCACAGTATTTACATGCATATAATGTCATCCCAGTTGAATCCAGAGCCATTTTCGTGATCTAACACAAGTCATCACCCAGTTGGTGGTGAACTTTCTGCAAAGTTAATTGGTTGTAGTTGTTGTGTTATGGATACTCTCTGATCATAAAAGAGCTGAGAAATGTAAAGCATAAACACTGTGGAGGTTTTATTTGTATCTCAATAATGCAGATTTACAGCACAATTTTGTTCTCATTTACAGTGCTCAGCATATATAAGTACATCCCTCACAAATCTTTCTTTTAAATTCATATTATTAATAGTAAGCTTTACAATATTATATTTGTCCATATACATTAGATAAGTCAGTACTGAAGCCAAATCTGGATTCTGGAGCTTATCTTACAAATAACTTATGATAACGGTCTAAAAACTAGTACACCCAAAATTGTTATTGAAAAATATTAAGTACAAATTTAAAAAAAGAAAAGACATCAAGAAAAGCAAAAAAATAAAATAAAATTAGTTGATATTTTGTAATGTATTGCCTATATTCACAGAGTAATGGATCCAAATATTCATTTTCAAAGTGGGGAGTACTCAATTATGCTGGGCACTGTACATGTGCATTCAGTAATGTGTGGGGAAAACACAATTTCTTTAAAGTCTTACATTGTTTTAAAGAAGAATATTTAACATCACTTAATTAATGTTTTTCTGAATAACGGTTTGTTCAGGGTTTTATGCTCCAATATCCTGTTGCTGTTTTCAATGAGTTTGTTTTTGCTGCTCCATAACATCAGTATTCAACAATGCAGGTATCATCAGTCAGAAGTAAGTTACCTGTCTGTACATATACATGCAAAGCAGTGACATGATACAATCAATTGCATGGGCCTACATGTGAGTTTCTAATAATATATGCTGTTCCTCTGTATTGCAGTTAGTGGCAATGTTTATTATACACACAATCATTGAGGTAAAGTTAGATTTATATTCGCACATTAGTTAATCTAACGCCTCCTATATTGTTTATCTATGCTACTTTGAATATTCAGTCTGAATTAGCATGCAAGTACAACTTCAAAACAATATTAGCATTATTTAATTGACTGTGAACAATGTTGCACATTGATAGCCTCTGGCTTCTAATATGATTTCTCTATTAGGAATTTGCAAATATTACTTTTCTGAAATTATATTATTAAGAAGAATGTCTGAATGTGAAAATATAAAATCAACTTCACCACTATCACACAATCATAGGGTCTGAATTGACACTCTCTGAATGCAATAAAAGTATATAATCTTGTACTCAGAATAAGCATGAAGGAAATCTGCAAGATTATTCCTGACTAAAGACAGGTGCACAATAAATTTTTGTACATACAAAATGCTCTTCAACCAGTCTGGTGTCTTGTGCAAATCATTATATGTTTGTGCAATATCTAGAAATGCATTCTTAAATTAAGAAAAAAAGATTTTCTATTTCTACCTTAAAAAAGTTATTTCTATAATTTTGTATTTCTGATATTTTCTTCAATATGGGCATTGAAAATGTTATTTTCTGTAATTGAGATCACTTTTTAGTACCATATTTAATAGTATTCATTAATCTTTGAAAACATTATTGATATAAATATACCTGTTCACTCTTAGTTCATATTCTTTAATATGAGTTTTTTACCATATTAATGCATTTTTAAATGTTTAAATTAACTAATAAAATGTTTTTTTAAATATTTCTCATGATAACATTGACAAATTCAGTATTATTGCAGTGTCACCCTTAAAACTGTTAAAAGTTAAAAGTGGTGCGTTTCAAAGACATTTAATATGGCATCTACGATTAAACACACATTTGTTTATGTTTTTAGGGAGTAATGTGTGAGGGTCATTCAACCTGATTTTTTTTTTTATATCTTTAAAGTATTTTGCTTAGATACATTTCTTGGAGGATTAAAGTTTTCTTTCAAGCAATGTTGAAATATGCAGAATATTTGTATCTTTGTGTATTTGGGATTTTTGGAAAAATATAAATTTCAAAAGAACCATAATTATTATTATTGTTATTATTGTTGTTATTATTATTATTAATAGTAGTAGTAGTAGAATAACTATTATTATTATTATTATTATTAGTAGTAGTAGTAGTAGTAGAAGTACTATTATTATTACCTTTAGTAGAACTATTATTATTATTATTAGTAGTAGTAGTAGTAGAAGAACTATTATTATTATTATTATTAGTAGTAGTAGTAGTAGAATAACTATTATTATTATTATTATTATATTATTATTATTATTATTATTAGTAGTAGTAGTAGTAGAAGTACTATTATTATTATCATCTTTAGTAGAACTATTATTATTATTATTATTATTATTATTATTATTATTATTATATTATTATTAGCAGTAGTGGTAGTAGAAGTACTATTATTATTACCTTTAGTAGAACTATTATTATTATTATTAGTAGTAGTAGTAATAGAAGAACTATTATTATTATTATTAGTAGTAGTAGTAGTAGTAGTAGTAGAATAACTATTATTATTATTATTATTATTAGTAGTAGTAGTAGTAGTAGTAGTAGTAGTAGTAGAATAACTATTATTATATTATTATTATTATTATTGGTAGTAGTAGTAGTAGTAGAAGTACTATTATTATTATCTTTAGTAGAACTATTATTATTATTATTATTATTATTATTAGTAGTAGTAGTAGTAGTAGTAAAATAACTATTATTATTATATTATTATTATTATTAGTAGTAGTAGTAGTAGTAGTAGTAGTAGTAGAAGAAGTACTATTATTATTATCTTTAGTAGAACTATTATTATTATTATTATTATTAGTAGTAGTAGTAGTAGTGGTAGTAGAAGTACTATTATTATTACCTTTAGTAGAACTATTATTATTATTAGTAGTAGTAGTAATAGTAGAAGAGCTATTATTATTATTATTATTAATATTGGTAGTAGTAGTAGTAGAATAACTATTATTATTATTATTATTATTATATTATTATTATTATTAGTAGTAGTAGTAGTAGTAGAAGTACTATTATTATTATCTTTAGTAGAACTATTATTATTATTATTATTATCATTATTTATTATTATTAGTAGTAGTAGTAGGAGTACTATTAATATTATTATTATCATCATACTTATTAATTATTATACATTTATTATTAAAAGTCTATTTGACTATCTGTCTGTCTGTAAACACAAGTGTTGTGCACGCACCCACATCTGTGCATCGGAATTTAAGCAATGTGAGAATTTCTGGCAGAAGTCACAAGACTCATTTAATGCAGTACTTCCTGGTGACGTGGTCCTCATCATGTGATTTGTTGTCTGAATAAAACAATATGCTGGTCACAGCAGTTAAGCTGCATTGTCAAGGATAGACAGAAAGCTAGTCTCTATAATGTTCAAATGTTTGTGGTCTAAATGTTTGTTAAAATGTTTGTGGTAAATGTGGTAAACTAATTCTATTGGTTTTGCTCAGACTTAGGTGTGCTTTAGTTATTGGCTCAAGTGTGAGCATTTGCCTTGTCTATACTTATAACTGTCTGTTCTGTGACCACTTCCTCTAAAGTGTCGGAGAGCACGTGTGTACTTTTTTAATGTCATAATGTGGTTTTCTCAAAAATGCCTGCTTGAACTTTAAAGGGAGAGTTGTTTGAATCTAAAGATCTTCTGCATGTCTGGCGTGCTTGAATCATGGGTATGCAAAACTTTAGCAAAGTGGCTGCATACATTATCATGTGACTGCATTAGTGTGATTCATCACTTAAACGGTAAATGAATTAGTCAGATTTTGCATCATGAAATATGAGCATTCATCGGTTGACATTTATGTTCTTGTTTGATATTTGACTTTGGTCCAACTGAACAAGACATTGACGTCATTGTTTATAGAAATTACATTATAGTCCCCCCCCCTTAATTTCAATTACCTTTTTAATTTACTTACTCTCTGCTTGTCCTGGATCTTGAATATTCACAAGGACAACAAATATTTCTTTAACATGTCTATGACCACTTTGAGAGTAAAAAACAAAACATTTATACAGGTAAAATAGTATAAACTGAGGCAAATGAACTGACACTAAAAGGTAAAATGAACTGTTATAAAAATGAATTTGATGGGGTCCTTAATGAGGTTTTCTCAAGCTTTTAATCAATTGATGTTAAATAGAATAAGTTTAATGATTTCAGCATGTTTCTAACATGCATTTGATTTTACTAAATACCTTTATGTATTACTATTAATAATAATAATAATAATATTAAAAATATTTAGCTGTGATCGATTGGCCAATAATCACATTTTACGATACTATACCAGCTAAAGAATCATGATACCAAGTGCTAGTATTGCGATACTGTAATTCATAACTCCAATTATAAAGAAAATGGTCAGAAATACTATGGTTATGTTATAATAAGCATACTTGTATTTAATTCATAGTTCTCTTAAGGCCAAAAAGGATTGTTTGCATCTCACTTAACCTGAAATTTATTTATTCATTTTGTTTGTTTTGTAGATAATTGACCAACAAATAATAGATTAAAATAAACATACAAATTATACTAAATGAATTTTGCTACAAAAGGGCAATTTGTACCAACAAAATTAAGTTATATGAAGTGGTAAAAAATAGTTTTTAATGTATGCTGTTGTTATTTTGGGGTTTACATCTTTTTTTTTTTTTTTTTTTTTTTGTTATTATCAGGCAACAATCCAAAGTAATTCAAAATGTCACTTTGTGAGTCATTCTTTTAAAGAGATTGTCACGGTTGTAGTTGCTACTAAGTCATATTACCAGGAACAGAAATTAACCGATTCAGAACTGAAGCGTTTGAAAACATGAAATAAGCTACCATAAAAGGTTCAGATTCTACACCGTTTTGCAAGGGCTTCATAGACTATTAAAATAAAACGGTCTTTTGTTGCACAAATGTGTGAGTATTTAAGTGACTTTTCCACATGCAACATTATCTATTGTAGAATAGATAAACCAGTAATGACGATACTACAGTTAACAAACTACAGTGACACCGCCAGTATTTTGGAGCCATAGCATCGTGATACCGGTAAACCGTGCAAACCTAGTTTACAGGTTTACAAGCAGAGAAAGACACATTTTAACTTCTTATGGATCAAATATGCACTCCAAACTTTTTCTTCATTGAGGCACGTTGAATTATTCTTCCATCACTGGCAAAGTTTCCAAATTGCATTGTTAGTCTTTTCTGTAAAGCTGCTTCTGACCATGATGTGTCCACACTAAATGTTTATAAGAGACGTGTTTAAGGAATCTCCACTTAAGTATTATACTTTGAGGGAAATTGTGCTTTATGTAATGTTAAAGTTATATAAGGCTTACCTTGAAGCATCAAAATCGCTACTCCGTATTGGCCGATCACCATGACGAGAGCATCCCTAAATAATAGTAGTTCAATGATGTTGCTTTTTCAATCCAATGTTTTTGAAAAGCTAGTATGGAACCAAGGTTTCAGACACGATTAAAGATGAAATATTTATTTATTTATGGTTATTTTATTTATTTATTTTTTTATTTAGTTATACATTTTGCATCGTCGGGCCACACATGCAAAATCGCAACCTCAGTTTAAAGAGCTGCCATCTCACAGCCTCCAGGAGAATAGTTTTTGTCTACTAAATCAAGTCTCTTGCTGTGTAATCATTTCAGTGCCTCAGGTGGGAATCCCATCCCCTCAGGTCACCACGTGTGAATTGGTATCTTGTTTATTGTTCAAATCAAGCAACAAGTTCAATCATGTTCTCAGCAAGGCATAGCAATCGGCAAGCTTGTGCCCTCCTTCATTTGCACTTGGTGCTTTTAATGATGCATTAGCATCAGGATATCTTGTTAGAACATCTTTATCTGCAGCTGGATGGTTTAGAGTAATGATGGCTGATAGTGTGAAGGGACTGGTTATCTTTCTTCCTGTTGTCAGACAGTCTGAAATAGTGTGCCGACTCAGTATAATTTTGTTCAGCCAGATCAGTTGATACTGCAATCATTAGCTAATTTGTTTTGTAGGACAGCATGTATATTCTCAGCACTGTTGTGAAAAATATTGACATTTCGATACGTAAGATAACCGAAATATCAGAGTTGAAACAATACTGTCACATTTTCTGCAGTTTGTCTACACGGGTACCAGCTTTTTTCCCCCCAACTGTAAGATCACAGACATGCTATCACTATTTCAGCTACACTCGTCTAACATCTGTTGAAGTGTTTTGTTATGGTATTACTGCCATGATGTCATTGAATGTGTTTACATTCGCTTTCTTAAGCTGGTTATACTTCTAAACGGGATATGCGCATTTAATAAAATAATAATAATATTTTATACACTCTGAAGCTTTCATGTCTTAATATACCACAAAATCATGTCATTGACAAATGCAGAAAAATCAAGACAAACAAAAAAATGCTGATATTGTGCGTACTGTAAAGAAGTGATAATGTAAAACAGCCTAGATTCTGACAGATTTCCTGCCAACATTTTTAAACTACTGATGCTGATGTTTGGGCTGTGATGATGGGCTGTGATGTCACTGCTGGTGAGAAATCGGGATCTTAGAATCTCATGTAAATGTGGTTTTCTGCATAGCTGGTTTACTGATTTGCATGTAAACACATACAGCCAAGCCTAATGTTATTCATATTCCTGGCAAATTCTTACTTTAAGTTTTTGTTTAAATGTAAAAAAAAGCTGAGAAATATTGTTTTCCATAATGATCCCTACATCGTCTTATTGTCTTTTGGGAGATGCTAGTATCAATCCAGTTCCAAAACTTGCTGGTTGACTTTAAATCAATATTTGCCAAGGGTATAAATATTTTGGGCTTGACTGTAAAAAACGATGTAAAAACAGACTGTAATAGTCCGATTTTTGATAGTTCTTTGCATGTTTTATGTTACTCAATGAATTCGTTTACATGGACATCGCATTAGTAATCGAATTACTTGCTTTAATTTGAATAAGACAATATGATGAAGGTGTTTACATGAGTTGCTTTTTAAATATTCCTTTCATGAACACGATTTTCATGTTACAGCACAATTCGATTAATGTCATTGCGTTACCACACTGTCCACATTTCCTCTGGATTTTTATATATTTTCGGGTGTTTTATTTTAAATTTGTCAACTTTAATTGCAGTTTGGACTTTCTCTTTCATTCTGGAACATTTCATGCATGCCCCCGTGACAAACGAGATATTGTATGCGAGTATGAACTGCTGGAAAAGTGTTGTTATAATGAAATTTAAGACCGCACGCCAAATGGGGAAAAAAACTCTCCTTTTCACTGTGTGTGTGTGTCTGTGGTCCTACACTGACTCGATAGATGCAGAGAATAGTGTCAAACAGCTGTGTGTATAGATTATCCTGTCACAAATTGCTTCCTAAACGATAGCAATAGTTTGATCCCAGTGTTTACATGTCTGTTCTGCATATCTGTAATGCAACCAAAATATGCTTACTCCACCTCTTAATTCCATTTCTGTTTAGTTCGATTATGATCTTAATTGGATTAAATTAATTAAAAATTGCTGTTTACATGGTAGACTCTTAATCAGAGTATTGTCTTAATCATATTAAAATTTTCGGATTTTTGGTGTCAATGTAAACGTACTCAAGGTTAAGAGTTGAGAACAAAATCTGATGTGTATTAGTATATTGGATCTGTGTTCAGTCCTGAAGTAACAGCAAGCTGATAAATCGTCTGCTGTCTGCCAATATCAGAACAGAATCAGTTTTATTGCCTAGTGTGCTTCACACACACAAGGAATTTGTATTGGCTACAGAAGCTTCAAGTGTACATAAAGTGACAAGTGACAAAACAAAATAAAAGATGAAATAATAAAAAAAAGATGATAAACAATAAACAGAGATGCAGTTAGTCGAGAAATCTGGATGTTGAATTGTACAGATTGTTTTAAATATACAAGTTATAAATTGCTGTAAACAAATGCGAATGGAGAAAGTATTGCATTGTATATTTATATAAGGTGCTTTCTACAAGTGTGTTGTATAAGTGTGCATGAGAATATTAAACAACTTAAGACAAAAAATCACTTTTGGACCTACTTGAAGAATTTAAAACACTGTTGTCATTTCCATTTTGCTCTTTTAGCTTACTTGTGATTGTATTTGTCAGATTGACTTTAAAGATGCACTTGAATTATTGTTAATTAGGGTTCAGTTTTTATGTCTTTAATGTTGCTGCAATACTTTCCCAGGATATCAGTAATGGTATGGAATGTCAATGGTTTGTGGTATATTAAAGTTAGACATTTAAGCCAAATGTTCAGTTATTCTCTATTTAGAAAACAAGTCAAATAGTTGGAATCCATTTGAAATTACTATTAAATACTATTAAGGAAACTGTTAAGTTGAGAAAAAGCAAACTGTTAAAAAATAATGCAAACTTAAAAAAACAACTACTAGTGATACTTATAGATTGTATTACTATTTACTTTCTCATGTTTTCTGCTGCCACAGTTTGTGGTTACCAGGGTGTCTATCAGTTGATTTGTGTCTACAGGATACTCTCATACAGTGTGCAAAGCAACAACATAAACAGGAGTGCTTTAAGCTAGTCTTGTGCACCAGCTTTTAAAATGAGTATACTGTTTGTTAGGGTGTGGGAGTTGTGATCAAAATCTTGCATCCCACTATGAGTAGTTTTATGGCTCAGTATCAGTAAGCATGATGATACAGTTATTTTTGCAAAAAGTTCAATGTTGGCATCATGTCTTTTTTAATAAGGCTGATAACCGCTAATGGTAGTGAATGGAAGAAATTACATCAACAGATATGACTGTGCAGTGAAGACCTGAGAGTGTGTGGCTGAATACTGTGAGGTGGTCGTAATGTTTACAGAGAAAGTTTTACTGGCAACAGCATGGCAAATAAAAGAAAGTGTTTATTAGGGACTTTTTTCTATCAATGAGGCAAACCACTTCAGACCTGCTAGCCTTGTGGTTTAAACATAGCAACTTGCATTGTTTGACTCATTCGTGTTTTTTTAAGGATATGATTACTTCTAGTATTAAAGTAAAATGTCAAGCTTTCTTATTGAGATTTTAAAGTGGACAAACTTAGTACATGTTTTATTAGATCTGCACAATTACTCAAGGATTACAAACTCTCATCCAGTTTTATTATTTATTTTAACCATCCTGGCACAAAACCTTCACCATAATGGCAATAAGCTGATTATACAAATTTTGGAAGGTTCATAGATGGCAATGTACCTTGGTAATTTCCTTGAGCTGGCTTGAGTTCTTTTTGTTTGTGAATTTTCATTATGAATCATTCATATGAATCAAATAAATGGTTTGACGGGAAGCACATTGGTAACTACCAATGACAGCAGGCCCACACTTACAGCAACGAGAAAAGAAAATGGGCGTAAAAACCACACACAAAAACTACGCACAGAAGTTTAATTGCTTTATGTGGAATAAGGAAATGCGCTTCAATCCATTCAAGTCCTTGAGTTGTAAATGTCTGTTTTTTTTTCTCCCCAGTCAGGCCAGTTCAGTGAAGATATGATACCAACCGTTGGGTTCAACATGAGAAAGGTTACAAAAGGCAACGTCACCATCAAGGTAAGCCTATTTACAGATTAAATCATTGCTTCTTGTGTTCAATTAGAATATTACATGCATGTTTCATTTTAAATATATAAGTACTGCAGAATTCTTCTGTGTGTTGCACAGATTTGGGATATAGGAGGTCAGCCGAGGTTCAGGAGCATGTGGGAGCGATACTGTCGTGGAGTGAATGCAATAGTGTAAGTATTTAAGCAACTTTTATGAGGGACAAATGAATAGTATTCACTACCAGAGTTAATTTCTCTGTTTATTTTTTTCCTCAAAGGTATATGGTAGACGCAGCAGACCGGGAGAAGGTTGAAGCTTCCAGAAACGAGCTACACAATCTTTTAGACAAACCACAGTTACAAGGAATCCCTGTAAGGCACTTGCTTGTTTCTACAGCACACAATTGCTTAAATGTGTTATAATCTTCAGTTCCTGTGGATTTCTTTGGAATTTTTCTAGGTGTTGGTGCTCGGCAACAAGAGGGATCTACCCAATGCGTTGGATGAGAAACAGCTTATTGAAAAAATGTAAGGAGCTCTACACCAGTGGTCCCCAACCTTTTTCTAACTGCGGACTGGTCAACGCTTGAAAATTTTACTGCGGACGAGGGGGTTGGAATAATAATAATAAACGTGAATCCACTGTGTACTCATATGGAACTTTATTAGCACATTGCTTCAACATTACAATGCTAATATAACATTAGGAAGTTATAACTTTATTAACACATTGCTCCAACAATATAACATATTATATAACATCAAAAACTATCCATAACGCTAAATCAATGAGAGCCCTGAGCTTATTTCTTTACAACGAGATGGTCCAATCTGGGGGTAATGGCAGAAGGAAGATTTCCGGAAAGAGTGCGTGCCTGTCTAGAATGTGCTGACGTGAGTCGTCTGCTTTAGCCAATCAGAACAGTCAGACGCATTCATGTTCGCGCGGTTTATGAGAATAAAAGCCCTTTGAATAGTTTTTCAGACACATTTAGCTGCTATAAATTAGGCAGATAACGATTATATGTTCATCTTAATGCCTACCGTGTAAATAATTATCGATAAGATGCTTGTGATAAGCCGTTGTTTGTTTAGCTTCAAGCTTTGCGTGTGCCCGTGAAACAGCCGTGAACGCCAGCACACACATATCATTTATATCATGACATGTATTTCTCTATATGTTGTCATCGAAGTTATTCACAATACTGATCCATCCACAGAGTTTGTGATGTAGTCAAATGTTTACAAATACAAGCGCAGCCGTTTAGAGCTAATTTTTGGTTAATGGTGTCAGAATTACCGGTATTTTGGAATGGATGTGTGAATGCTCTTTTCCGGAAAAATTCCGTAACGTCCTCGTCTGTGTGAACAGCGCTTTTTTGAATTTACCGGTAAAGTCATTCCGAAAATTTTCCATATATTTACCAGTATCACTGGGGCTATTGGGGGAAAGGGGCTATTGACACCCGAATTGTGTTGCTTGTGTCCAGTCTACTCATTTGGCTGTCACTGCAGAAAACCCCGCTTCACACAGATAGGATGTTGGAAATGACAACAGGGTTTTCAGCACCGTGTTAGCGATCTCTGGGTATTCTGCCATGACTTTAATCCAGAACACCGGCAGAGTTGTTGTCTCGAACACTGTTTAAGGCCGCCGTCATTTGCGATCTCCAGCAGTTGCTCTTCTTCTTTCACGGACATGCTGGATTCAGCTGGTTTGTTGACAAATGGGTCACATTTCCATTCCTTGGCCGTTTGTGGGTCCTTTGAGGTTGGGAAGTAGCGCTCAAACTCCTTTAACAGCGAAGACGGGTGATCGTGCACCAGCTTGGTGAGTGAGGGCGCAGGCTCAGTCTCACACAAAATCCCCGCCAATGTTTGAAACATGTCCAATATGCCTCTGTTCACGCGCCGTCCCCACAAAGCCAGTTTGGCTTTAAATTCAGCTACTTTATCTGCCAACCTAAAGATAATTCATTCTTGTGCGGCCCGGTACTGATTGATCCACGGATCGGTACCGGTCCGCGGCCCGGGGGTTGGGGACCACTGCTCTACACCACACAAATGTTTTCCTGCTGCTTTATGATTCAAAGTCAGCTTGAAATCGGAATAGACCAGAGTTGTATTGAGTGATGAATGCTCATCATTACAGTGGAAATAACTTAGTTTGACCTTTTTAGCTTATGTAACCTTGATCCTGTGGGTGGGGGGGAAATGAAGCAGTATAGCTGTTTTCTATATATACCAAAATAGATATACGTATGTACATAAATGATACATCGGTAGCTGTTTCTTTTAGCCACCACGTTTTGTTATATTAGAATGGTCAAAACCTACAGCTCTATTTATATTCATATTTACATATCTATATATGCAGTAGATGTTAGCCAGCACAACTTAAAGGTTTCCTTTAGTTTAAAAAACACATTTTCGCCTGTGAAATTTCATCACATCACTTTAGCAATTAATTATTTTTTTTACTAGACAAATTTGCATAGATTTGATCTTTTTGTTAGCGAAGATACATTGACCATTCCAAGATTATGAATCTGAAAATGCTATTTTATTAATCAATAGCAGCTAAAAAAAAAAGAATTTATTTAAAAATAAATCTTCTTTATTGTATTGACGGTCCAGCAACCTTTAACATGCTTAGAACATTTCCATTTTACAATAGATTTTATACAGCAGGAAAGGTTCTTTATGCCTTATTCCTTATGTGCTGTTCAGGTAATGTTTTCATCCACTCCGGAAGTTTAATTTGGCCACAACTTTCTCTGTGTTTTAGCAAATGGAATGACTTTTGGTGACATTTTATTTTGACATATATTTTAGGAAAATGCTTACAATACACTCAGGGCTAATTTACTAGCCTTTTTGTTTTGTTAGTGGCTGTTTTTGCCCCATTGACTTCTATTATAATCACATTTTTTTATTCCAAAGCCATGACACCAAATAATCATGCATTCTTGATTATTGGTGGTTTTCCTTGTGGTAAATGAATAAAATTTTACTGTTGATCATTAGTTGCAGTGCAGAAAAGCTTAGTCTCTGAATAAAAAGTATATGGTTATATGAAGTATATAGTGTGTGTGTGTGTGTGTGTGTGTGTGTGTGTGTGTGTGTGTGTGTGTGTGTGTGTGTGTGTGTGTTGTGCAGAACATAGTAAACATAGTTCTTTTATTGCACATTTCATACACAGTGGCAATTCAAAGTGCTTTACATAAACAGGAATAAAAGAGACAAGTATAAAAAATAATAAAAAGATATAATAAAAGTGATTATAAACTATTTATTAAGATGTGTTGAATAGGTTATAAAAGAAGGAAAATTAAAAGAAAGGCATAATAGTGTGATCTGCTGGACATGGTTAAGTGCTCAGTCAGTAAAGGCACAGCTGAACACATGTGTTTTAACTCTTGATTTGAATGTGCCAAATGTTGGAGCACACCTGTTCTTTTTTGGAAGTTGATTCCAGCAGCGGGCTGTGCAGTGGCTGAAGGTGGATCTGCTTTGACTGAACCCTTTGAATTTTTAATTTACTTGATCCTAAAAGTCAGAAACTTTTTTGCACAGGCATATCTAGAGAGTTAATTCTGCTAACTGATGATCAACAGTAAAAATTAACGTTACAGAGAAAAACACCAACCATCAAGAGTGCATGATTATTTGGTGTCATGGCTTTGCAATCAAAAAATGTGGTTATAATTGAAGTCAATGGGGAAAAAACAGCCACCAACATAACAAAAGGGTAGTCCATTTGAACAGCACACAAGGGTTAAAAGAACCATTACTAAAGGCTCATCGTTTACAATTTTAAAATTTGTTTATCCTATTTTTTTTTTCTGACAGAGTCAATTTTAGCTTATATAAGCATCATGAATTAAATCATACCATAAGCCATTTGTTGAAAAAAATCAAAAAATATTTGTGTTAATTTTTCTATTTAAAGTTTGAGTCTTCTGTAGTTACATCTTGTAATAAAACTGACGGAAAATTAAAAATGACAATTTTCTAGGCAAATATTATTAAGAACTTTACTCTCATTCTGGCGTAATAATCAAGAATCTCTGCCACCGCTGCACCAGCTGATATTACAGTGCTTGAAAACAAGCTACTTTCTACTTTTTCTTGTCTCATTCATATAATTAGAGGTTGTTGTCTCTGCTTTATACAGTCTTGGAATCATATTATGCCAAATCATATGATGCTTACTGTTTCCCAGAATAGAATTGTTCAAAACCTATAGGATTTTCGTTCTTCTGTCAAATCTTAAAGTTGCAGTATGTAAGTTTGACACCTAGTGGTTGAACTAGGTATTGCACACCTGGTTTAAAACACAGGCACGCTCAGGTTGCCAGATTGACAACACCAACAGCCGTGTGCCTGACTGTGGTGCTACAAGGCTGATTTAGGGCTGATTTAAACTGCGTCCTAAATAAAACAACAGCACGTGATAGAGAAAATGTTTTCCATATTAAAAGGAGTTTTTATTCTAACCAACACCTGACATGTATTGCAAACAGCTTCTACTTGTAGCTGAACAATAGAAAAATGACAACGAGCACTTCAGGTACACCTCATGTGCTTTATTCAGTGTTCACTAATAATTTGAGTTTGAATGCCGTTTACACAACATTTATTGCCATCATTTTTTTTTTTCTGACAGAGTCAATTTTAGCTTATATAAGCATCATGAATTAAATCATACCATAAGCCATTTGTTGAAAAAAATCAAAAAATATTTGTGTTAATTTTTCTATTTAAAGTTTGAGTCTTCTGTAGTTACATCTTGTAATAAAACTGACGGAAAATTAAAAATGACAATTTTCTAGGCAAATATTATTAAGAACTTTACTCTCATTCTGGCGTAATAATCAAGAATCTCTGCCACCGCTGCACCAGCTGATATTACAGTGCTTGAAAACAAGCTACTTTCTACTTTTTCTTGTCTCATTCATATAATTAGAGGTTGTTGTCTCTGCTTTATACAGTCTTGGAATCATATTATGCCAAATCATATGATGCTTACTGTTTCCCATAATAGAATGCTTGATGGAATTATAATGATTAGTGAATTGCATTACTGGCTCTGGTTTTGTCAGTTTATTTTGATCTTTTAGTGCTAAAGACTTTCTCTGACTGCAATAAATAAATAATATAAATGCATTTAGATCATTTGCATTTAGATAATTTCTTTTTAATGGGAGCTAAAATATGGAAGATATAATAGAAGTTATCATTTGTTCTCTGAATTGTTCATTTATTAGTTTTTTTATAAGCTATTTTTATATATTGTGTCTGTATAATTTCTTTGAAGAATTTTAAGATCATTTATTTGTAAAAATTAACAATGTTTTAGACATGACATATTTCGGGCCGTGGGGGGTTGGGGCATCTTTTATATGTCAATTTGATGTTGTGATGATTGTTTCATGTTTTCTAAGAATGTTGTGAGAACGAGATGAGTCATAATGTCTAGACCTGAGGTTAACCTGAAGGAATTAAAAAGGTCGTGCTGTTTGGGGGTCTCGCATCATAAGAATTGTAAGATTGACTGCCCTCTGTTGGCTGAGACTTGTATTTGCTTCATTGTTTTCTGCGACTGGGGCTACTTTGTATTAAAATGATTAGGCCTGAAATTAAATGCATGTCATATAAATATATACCATACACTGCATTGTTAATCCTGTCATATCTTTTATCTCTTAAGGAACTTGGCTGCTATTCAAGACCGAGAGATATGCTGCTACTCTATTTCCTGCAAAGAGAAGGATAACATTGGTAAGTAGTGACTTCTAGTTAAAGGGATGGGTCACAAAAAAAAGAAAATTCTGTCATCATTTTACTCTTCCCTCAATGAATTGTTCTAGGTTGACTCACTTGTATTTATACATGTAACCGCTGTCAAGCTTCTCTCACCATTAAACATATTTTACTAGAATGTGAAGTATTAAAGACTATTAGACAGGATTTCTATACTTTCATGGATGTTTATAAAAATGTAGTCAAACCTGACATTATTCTGAAATTGTGAAAAAGAAACAATAAGACAATGTAAAAGAGGCATCATTGTGGACAAAAATACTTATTTGCTTCTGTTTTTAACCTTTTTAAAAGTTATGGGGTATAAATAATTTCTCAATCAAGTTATTTATCAAATATTGGACTGAAAATGTAAAATGTTTTATACTTTAATAATTTATTTATTATTTAAATTTTTTTTATGAAGTTGTTTTTATGCAGTATGTATTATCTATATTTGTCAATTTTAAACATATTTATCGAATAAAATGTGTCTTAAAAAACACATCTAATATTTTAAATGTGAAACGTTTTTATTAATTTATTTGTTATTTATTATTTTTTTAATTATGAAGTTGTTATTATGTAATATATATTTATCCGTATTCACGAATTCTTAGTTATTTATCAAATATTAGACAGAAAAATTGCATCTAATGTTTTAAATGTAAAATGTTTTATTGCTTTCTAATTGTTTTTTTATTATAAAGTTGTTATTATGTAATGTATTAATCTATATTAATCTTCCAATGAGATAGCTATACATTGTTTATTTTATAATATACAAACAAACAAACTGACTTCACTTGTTCAAAACCTATATGATTTTTGTTCTTCTGTCAAATCTTAAAGTTGCAGTATGTAAGTTTGACACCTAGTGGTTGAACTAGGTATTGCACACCTGGTTTAAAACACAGGCACGCTCAGGTTGCCAGATTGACAACACCAACAGCCGTGTGCCTGACTGTGGTGCTACAAGGCTGATTTAGGGCTGATTTAAACTGCGTCCTAAATAAAACAACAGCACGTGATAGAGAAAATGTTTTCCATATTAAAAGGAGTTTTTGTTCTGACCAACACCTGACATGTATTGCAAACAGCTTCTACCTGTAGCTGAACAACAGAAAAATGACAACGAGCCCTTCAGGTACACCTCATGTGCTTTATTCAGTGTTCACTAATAATTTGAGTTTGAATGCCGTTTACACAACATTTATTGCCATACTACTGAAAGCAGCAGTGGATAGTTTACCTCAGATCTTAAAAAAAGATAAATAAACCATGGGAAATTGTACTTTCTTAAAGATTTTTTATATTTATTCATTAGATTATAAACCTTACCATTTCGTTGGAGTGCAGTAAGTGCACTATTAAATAGCTTTATACATTTCTGTTGTGTTTCGTTTGGTGCAAACAGCCAAATTGCTTATCTCTGTGCTTATCTTGTCACGTATCGTGTTGTTAGGACACGGGGTTACAATGTAACCTGTTCACCTAAAGTTTACATTCTTAATTTTAAGATTATTTGCTACTTGATAACCACCTCATGTGTGTCTCATTTTTGCATTCTGCTACTGTCCACCGGTCATGGACGTGAAATGCGACAGCCTTCATGACTGAATAAATGAAATGCGCTGTTTTCCACAAAGGCAACCTGGGGTGCTGAAATATAATTGGCTAAACTGACATTGGGTGGGTTAAAAGATCCAAAACAAAGGCAGCTTTCTGGCAAGTAACGCACATTTTCTAAGCAGTATATCTGGCTTTAACATTGTTTTTCAGATAAACAAGAATGTTTATTGTTTCTTAATCTATATCTGCCAACATATTATGGTATTTTTATGCTTTAGAAAAGTCAAAAACTTACATACAGCAAAACAAGATTTTTTGAAGTTAATTGACTTCTGTTGTATTTTTTACTACTATAGAAGTTGATGGGCATCAGTATTTCTTTAAAATATCTGTTCAACACAAAAAGAAATCTTTTTTTAAAAACTTGAGGGATAGTAAATGATGAGGTCATTTTTGTGTGAGCCGCCTCTTTAAGCTTGCTGTTTGATCTGTGATTTGTTTTACTTACATGATACTGTTTTGTCACAGACATCACACTTCAATGGCTAATCCAGCACTCAAAGTCGAGAAGAAGCTGAAAGCATCTTGAGTTTATCCGCTGCCATGTTACTCTCACACCACATCCAATGCTCACTTTGTGAAACTGTACAGTTCTCCATAACGTGCCCCTCACACTACCCTGCTCGTCTGATCCCTAATCCTCCCGTCCGCATCAGTCATGTCAACGATACATCAGTCGCTAAAAGACGCTAGCCTGCAGAATCAGTTTCTTCAACCTCTTACAGCCTGCTGTCAGATGAACATTATGGATATCCTTTTTTTGCGAAGCCCAGCAGCTCCAGTGGTCTCCATTTGGGGTTTCCAGAACAAATTTATTTAAAAACTGAGACAAATCCAAACTTTAATATTGATGTTTTTTCTCTCCTTTCTCAAGTCTGTCAGGTTTTGCTCATGAGAGCGTGTTATATTGTTTCAGTTGTTGCTTTTATTTCTTTCCATTTCTCTTCCCCCCCACAAATTGTATCTCCTAATATTAAACATGAGGAGCAATCAGTAAATGAACAGCTTAGCGGAAAAAATCCAGAATGATTTTTACAGAAGTGAGAGTAAGTATATTTTGAGAGGATGAATGTTTTGCTGGTTAAGGTTTTCATTTAGCTCAGTGATGTCTTTGAATGGTGTTCATGAGCTGAGAGAAAGAGAGTAAGTTAAAGTGCCTTGTGCAGTGTGTATCTGTCCCTCAAGATAAACAGTATACCGGGTGTGCCTGCCTGGAGCTACGTTGGATAAAGACAGCTTACTTTGACCTGCAAGAACCGAAGGCATGCTTTTTAAGGTAGATTATTGTACTGTTGTCGTTATCAACTCAATATTTGTACAAAAAGAGGCAAATGTTGAAAACCCCACTCTTATCAATGCACTTTTGTAAATACGATGAACCAATAAATAGATTGTCAACATGTAGGAGGAATCTTGTGTTGCTGTGGTTGTTTTTAATTAAAAAAATGTTCATGATGTTTAGGTTAAATATTCATATTATTTATTATCCATATCCTACATTTATTATACAGATGCAGCACATCTGTGGAATACATACATACATTTTTATATATATTATGTAGCGCTGCACAATATATCATTTCAGCATTGATATCGCAATGTGAGCATTTGCAATAGCCACATTGAAGCTTCTGAAATGTGGAGTCAGGATTATAGTCTAGTAAATGCTATTGTTGAAAAAAAATGTGATTTATTGTTTGCAGTTACTCCAAATATTACCAAAAATGTTATCGTTTGCATATATTTTTAAAGTCTATGACTTTTTAAGCATTTCAGGCTTGGGTACAATAATTTTTATCATTTGTAACCTAAAGATATATTAATGAAGTCTATACAGTTTTATTTTTATTCATTCATTTTCCTTCCGCTTAGTCTCCATTTCAAAAGTCACCACAGCGGAATAAACCGCCAACTATTCCAACATATGTTTTATGCAGTGGATGCCCTTCCAGCCACAACCCAGTATTGGGAAAACAGTTTTATTTTACACTGAATTTTACATAATTTAATTTATGTAGCTGAATATATAGACTCAGGAAATAAACCACTGTTCATTTCAGTTGTATCTTTGCTACTGTATTTATCAATTCTTGTGGTTGGTTTATTATTTTTCATCCATATGTGCCGGCCTACAAAATTATCAATCTGAAATTACAAATACTTTCCCAATAGAGCCATTCAAGTCATCTGGTGAAATTATACTCAATATCGCAATATGTATGGCATCACAATGTCCGTTTATTCCACTATCATGCTGCCCTAATATTTTTATTTTTAGACTAAAGAAAAAAAAAATGTTTTAGGTTTGTCATAAATATTTTGAAAATATTATTATCATTTGGTATTAATGGCAATGCTTTAAAAGTGTCATTAATTAAAGTTCATTTAAAATTTGCAAAAAGATTCACATTAGTTTATAGTTGAGGCTTTTGCATAAATTCTAGTTTATTTTAGCATTTTATTTAAATTTTACCATTGTAATACTGATATTACTAATATTCTTTTTTTACCTAAACTTTATTGTGTTTTTAGTAAACATGATATCAACAATGGTAATGACAACATTGAATTGGTTCAAAGTGTACAGGCTGGTTGGTAACTATGTAAAACAAAATATATATTTTTTTTTACAAATTTTATACATATGCATACAAAAACCTGTGAGTATATAAGTAAGGGATAAACTATATACACAATGTCAGAGAAGCAGATAACTGAAAAAGTGTCTAATACAATTATTGATCAAGCACAAAACAGAAAATGAGAAAAGTTATATTAACAAAAATATAAGGGTTTTTATTAAATCATTTTAACATTCAGATTTATTTAAATAAATATGATATTTATTTTAGGTTTTGACATTTTTTGTACCAATTAATTTTTTTTTATTTAATATTAATATGAACATTTTAATGCTACTTTCAACAAAAATAATTAATACATTGATTAATTTGGACTTAGTAAAACAAGTTTAAATAGTCTCTAGTTTATGTAAATCAGCATTTTATTTTATGAATGCGAAGATTTAAATGCTTCTAATTAAGGTGAATTAAAATGACTTATTCTATAAAAAGTCTGAAATGACTAACTATAAAATGGTTAAACTATATTTGAATGAAAATCCATTCTTTCATTTTCTTTTTGGCTTAGTCCCTTTATTAATCTGTGGTTGCCTCAGCGGAATGAACCGCCAACTTATCCAGTATATGTTCTACGCAGCGGATGCCCTTCCAGCTGCAACCCATCTCACACTCAATCCATCCATACATACACATCCATACACACTCATTCACACACACACTACAGACAATTTAGCTTACCTAATTCACCTGTACCGCATGTCTTTGGACTGTGGTGGAAACCGGAGCACCCGGAGGAAACCCACGCGAACACAGGGAGAATGACAGCACTACCTACTGCACCACTGTGTCGCACTTGAATGAAAATTATTCTGTATTATTCTCATTATTACCATGTATTACTCTGTTTAATGCATGGTGGTGGTATTCACGGGGGACACGACAACACGGTGGTTTAGGGTTTAGCACTGTCGCCTCACAGCTAGAAGGTCGCTGGTTCGAGTCCCAGCTGGGTCAGTTGGCATTTCTGTATGGAGTTTGCATGTTCTGTGGTTGGTGTTCACACTGTTGGTGTGGGTTTCCTCCGGGTGTTCCGGTTTCCCCCAGTCCAAAGACATGCGCTATAGGTCAATTAAATAAACTTAATTGGCCGTGGTGTATATGAGTGTGTATGGATGTTTCCCAGTGCTGAGTTGCAGCTGGAAGGGCATTCGCTGCTTAAAACATATGCTGGATAAATTGGCGGTTCATTCTGCTGAGGTGACCCCTGATGAATAGGCACTAAGCCAAAGGAAAATCAATGAATGATTAACAGGTTACCGTATTAGTAGTGGGGGAAGTACTGGTTGACTGTAGTAGTAGCTAAACAGAAACAGATAAGACTGTATTTACTCTCGCATCACAATCACACATGTGATTTTCTCATTGGCTCAGATATGCGAGGCTGCTTTCAGTTCATCTGCCACGACATCTCACAGCGTGTGTGACTGACGCCTTCATTACCCAATCGCCTTCTACGTAATGACGTCGCGGGCAGAGGACCACTCAGCGTTGGGCATCAGGGAGGGGCTGGTTTGTTGACAGGAAGTATGGCAGAACTGAAAACAGAAAGAAGAGCTGTGGACTTTTGCGCTTCGTTAAGTCGCAGCGGCTAAGTGAATTATGACTTTGAAGGCCGACAGCAGGCAAAGATGCAATGGAGGTCAATAGTCGTGGGTCTCCTTGTTTTAAGAGTGCTGCTCAATTGCGCGGTGTGGCTCGTGTTTGGACTGGGACCCAGCTGGGGCTTTGACTTCCCCATTAAATTCACGTTCAACTCGCATAAAATTGAACTTTTCAATGATGGCGAAAGAGCCACCGTGAAAACTAACGCCTGGTTGCGGCACCTTTATGACAGCAGAAACCCTCAAGCGAAGACCTGCTCCAAGATCAGCGGGAATTCGCCAAAGAAGTCCTACCTCAGTTTCTTTGAGGAGGGCAGAGATGAGTATGACAGAAAGTACAGCTCTTTCCCGGACGCCCTTAAAGTCAAGATGAGGGCCATGGCGCGGGACATGTTTTATTTCGGATATGATAACTACATGAAGTTTGCCTTTCCAGAGGATGAACTGAACCCTATAGCATGTGAAGGTCGAGGGCCTGATGTGCTCAATCCGTAAGTCACTGACTAATTCATAGAAGTTAACCATTTAAGAAACACCTTCATTAAATAACAGTCGTGTGCTCCATATTGTACTGCTTTATATTGGGGTATCGTTAAGTTGGTTTTATATTCGGGCATTCGTTCATTTTTGACCAGTTACTATTTGAGCCAAGCTGCTTTGAATATTTGGTGTGAAATCACATGTAAGTGTGACCTCATAACAACATTAGCACTATTTAATTGGCTGAACATTGTTGTACTTTAATAATCATTGGCTGCTAATGTGATTTCCCCATTTAGAATTACCAAAGAATATTTTCTGAAATTACAATTGGAAGGTGAAAGTTCACATGTGTGAATATAAAACCAACTTTACCTTAATCTGCTTTATCTTGAGCATAATATCTTGGCATGTCCTGCAAATCAATGTAATCATCTGCACAACATCACACATTGTACACATCTGGTACAGTGAATCTTATTTGAGTAACAAAAATGTGACCGATGATTCTTTTGAAATTAGGTAAAGTTACAGAGAGTAACAGTGACCATTTTTGACACAGTCCCTATATTGTTTATCACACTACTTTGAATATTTGGTCAGAAATAGCATGCAGGTTTGGCTTCAAAACAACATTAGCACTATATAATTGACTGTGAGCAATGTTGTGCTTTGATAGTCATTGGCTGCTAATATGATTTTTAGAATTTGCAAATCATTCATTCATTCATTCATCCATTTTCCTTTGGCTCAGTCCCTTTATTCATTAGGGGTCACCACATAAACCGCCAACTTATCCATCATATGTTTTACGCAGTGGATGCCCTTCCAGCCGCAACTCGGTACATTCTTATATTTACACAACACACTACCGCCGATTTAGCATATTCAGTTCACCTATACAGCATGTCTTTGGACTGTGAGGGAAACTGGAGCACCCGTCGGAAACCCACGCAAATATGGGGAGAACATACAAACCCCACACAGAAATGCCAACTGGCCTAGTCGGGACTCGAACCAGCAACCATCTTGCTGTGAGGCAACAGTGCTAACCACTGAGCCACCTTGCCACAAATTTGCAAATAATACATTTCTGAAATTATATGATTAGGGAGAAAGTTTGAATGAGCGAATAGAAAGCCAACCTTGTCCCAATAACCTTTTGATAAGTTAGAAAACTAAAGAAACTTTCTAAATTAGTCACAATGCCTGTGCAAAACAGAACTTTCATGGCAAAAGCAGAAATATCTCTTTCATAGTCTGCACCACAGATGTTGTTGTTGTTGTTTCTATTGTTGTTTTCATTGTAACTGAATTGAATTGTTCCTCTTAGGTCAAATATCAACATTAATGATGTTCTTGGAAACTACTCTTTAACTCTCATCGATACTCTTGATACACTGTTGGTAAGTAAACATGTATTTATTTACTCTCCTTTAGACCATCCAAGATGTTGGTGACTTTATTATTATTCGTTATTCATCAGTGACTGACCAAAGAAACAATAAAAGCATGAAAAAAATATTTAATACCTTTAATGCACCTCATCCTGAAGTGGAAAAGTGACTGAACATTATTTACAACGTTATTACTTTTGATCTACAGCCTAAACAAATGGTCTCAAGTGCATCTTGTAGCCTTTCAATATGTAGATAAAAATTTTTATTTGTAACTTATTAAATGATCTAGGTTACAGCATCAAGGATTAGTTTATGTATGTAATATTTTGATGCACAATGCAACGATCACATTCTCCCTCTACTATAAACAAACAGTATCAGGTCATTGAATTATGTGACAGGACACTGATGCAGTAGTTTAAAGAATATAATGGTGAAAATCAGTTGATTCACTTAAAAAGATCTATGGTTATTGTCAGGAGTTAAGAGTATTAATTTTGTTTTGCCAGTAAATGTTTTATATTTGGTCACAGCCGATTCTTTAGTTGATATTCTGCTGGAGACTAAAATGATCTTACATCTTGTATGACTTGGGGATGAGTAAATTGCTAGCTAATTTTAATGAAGTGTATGACTGTAAATAATTGTGTAAGCTTATGATTAACTGTAAGTTATCTAGCAAAAATATTCCACATCAACTGATTCAAGGGGTAAACTGAACTTACTATTTATCTAGCTTCAGGGCTGTTGATTACAGATACTTTTTGTAGTTCTTCACATTTTTTCAGCTTATAAAAATCAGTCAGTCTTTAAAAATTTCAGTCTTTAATGTGCACATTAAGTTGCTATGTACTCCATTTTTGCAGGTTCTCGGAAATGTGACCGAATTTCATCGAGCTGTTAAATTGGTGATTGATACAGTATCTTTTGACAAGGACTCCACTGTTCAAGTCTTTGAGGCCAACATCAGGTGCAGTCTTTTTCTTCTTTTATACACTTTGAAAAAAGCCAACACCCTTACAATGCGACTAGTTTGAGAAGATTCTATTCTCAATGTATAAGAAGTGAGAACATTCTCCTTCATTGTGTTTTATTGATGGAGGTTTATAGTTAAGGTTTGTCACTTGGGAAAACAAACTTGTTAAATAAACAAAACAAAACAAAAAGAAATTCTGATCTCTCACATTTCAGTTTTGGAGTCATAGATTGGATGTTTGTTTGGTTTAAAAAATAAGAGAAGACAAATATAATTTCATTCCTAATTTATTACAAGAACACTTAACAAAAATGAGATCCTGATATTGATCCAATATTTTTACCAAATAAAAAAAAAAAAAAGATTTGGTTATTAATAATAATAATAATAAACCTTTTATTAACTACAATATATATATATTTTAATCTTTGGTAATTAAAGTAGTCAAACAAATTCAGCATAAGGAAGTGAAACCCAGATGTGCTCAATATATTTTCATTTTCTCATAAAAGAATGCGCGCACATACTGTAATGGTTTTCTCCACCACCATTCTTGACATTATTATATGTTAGTAGGAAGCAATATGTTCTCATACGTGCAAGCTGAATAATGCAGGAGGATTTTCAAGTTCTTCTGCTCTTTCACAACACTGATTAACACTGTCTTTCATTCTGTCATCGTTACACTGTAAATAATCCTAAGTCTTAAAAAAAAAAATACATCTGCACACCACGCTCATGCCGAACTGTAGATCCTGTCGTCCACCAACCCCCCCCCAACCCCCCCCCCCCCCCCCCCCAAAAAAAAAAAGGAACTTAACCTAAATACATTTTACTGAATGGGAAAGGGTCACACTATTATGTCTTTCTTTTGTTTTGCAATTTTTTAAAGCCTGTTTTTACACATTTTCAACAGTTTTTAATCATTTTTTATTTTATGTTTCTTTTATTCTTGTTTATGTAAAGCACTTTGAATTATGTATGAAATGTGCTTTATAAATAAACTTGCCTTGCCTTTTCAGAATCCTTGGCAGTTTGATCTCAGCCCACATTCTGCTGACTGACCCACGGCACCCGTTTGGAGATGTAGGACTGAAAGACTATGACAATGAGCTGCTACACCTGGCACATGATCTTGCCGTTCGACTACTACCTGCTTTCGAGAACACTAGCACAGGCATCCCTTATCCAAGGGTCAGGCCCGCTTGCATCCTTTTTTATAGTGAGACGATGGCTCTTATTTCCTCTATTTGATATTTTCTTTCTACCCTGTTTTTATGCAGGTGAATTTAAAGAATGGTGTTCCTCCTGACAGCATTAATGAGACTTGTACGGCAGGGGCAGGCTCTCTGCTCGTGGAGTTTGGTATTCTTAGCCGTCTGATTGGTGACTCTACATTTGAATGGGTCGCCCGGCGGGCTGTTAAAGCTCTGTGGAAATTAAGAAGTAATGAAACTGGACTATTGGGTATGTGATTTTTTTTTTTTTTTGTCTTTCACAAAACTTGTCATATACCAGTTGACCACACAGAAATCAAAATATGCTGTGTATTTGTTTATTTTTGTTTGTTTGTATGTTTTGATTCAGCTAATCTATGCTACAAATTTGCACACAAACTTCTTTGTAATATTTTTTTTGTTACAAAGTGTGCAAACTGAGCATTAACAGAGGCCCGAGATGCTAAAGACTGACAGTAGATACTTTTATGCAATTTTCTGTGATTGTTTTAGGACTTCTGATTTATTTGCCTTTGGATAAAGAATAAGGAATAACAAGCGGCAATAAACAGTCATGTTTCTTGCTCTACAAATAACTGGGTTTATGAAAATACACAGAAAATAAAATATTATAATAAGAGTTTGCAGTTTGCAACATCGAGCATCTAGGGTTGTCACGATACTGCAATTCGGTATCAATCAGTGCTAAAATTGAAAAAAGTCAATTTCATACTAACATTTTAGCGTGTTCTTAACCCTTTCAGACCTGAATTATGCTCCAAATTAATGTAATGTAAAAGTATATTTTTACAGTTCTTGAGGCTCCCATTAATGAGATCAAATTATTATAAAAAAAAAAAATCATCACTCTTTAGGTGTATTTTTTTATATATATATATATTTTTATTTTTGTTCATTGTAGTCGACATCAGGTCAAAACAGTTGTACTTCACTAACATTATACCATCATAAAATAAAAAAAAATTTAAAAACACCCAAAAAAGTTCCTGACTTTCATCTGCCTCAACCTCAATTTCTTCCTCTACCTCTGGTAACAGTGACTCATCTCTGTCAGGCCCTGAAATTGTAAGCAGAAACTGCCCCTTACAAAACAACATAAATGTTTTATATTCTTGTTCATATTGATAGAATATATTATAAAACCATATATGCAGATATATGGTATAGCAGCATTCAATTAAGTGAGGAGCATTTACTTGTAATAAAAGCCTTAACTAATCAATTAACTAACTCTCTAAAAAAACATGGGATGTCATGTGATGTCTATTGTAATGGACGCAGGGTCTGAAGGGCTTAAACACCGCTGATTTGCTATTGTGTTCAAGTGCTCAACAGAAAGGACTGTGATTGGCTGTGAATGTCATCAGTTAACTGAACTTCACTGACTGAGTCTAAACACAGATACAGGGACACTGAAGTGTTTTAAAGCCGCAAAGATCAGTCAATTCTTCAGTGGGTCACTCGTATATCAGCTCATAGACAAGCTAGCTGATATTTGCGGCTTTAAATACGCTCCAGTGAAGGTTTTTAGAATTTTAGTACCGATAGATACTGAATTCCAATATTGTGACAACACTTCAAGCATCATAACAAGCTTTTTTATGGCTAAAAACCAATAGAAGTGACCAATACAAATTCAACATTTAAATAAAAAGATTGTACAGATAAGACTTTAATGATTGTGTAGTCTTTATTAGAGCTTTTTCTTAGGTGACTAGACTACTAGAATCTTTACATGTTTTTAAAAATGAGCAACAGTATTAAATTCATTAATGAAAATCTCCTTCTAAAACTTGAGTATAGATCTATGGTACCTGTACAAGGGCTTCATTAAGTATAATTGGGCCTCTTTTGATTTTATTTTATGTGTGGATAATTTGGCTCTGTAGGGATTCTTTGTGTAAAAGATTGTGGAATTTTATATTTGGACAATCTTGTTTAATATTTATTGAATACCAGCACAGTTAGCGGGTTTGTAACTTACCAAGGAAATGCTATTATTCCTTCTGTTCTATAAGCAACACTATATTTATTCAGTATTTCTGCTGTTTTTGTTTGGTTGGGGAAAAAAAGAATCACCCGTGAAAAATCCAAATCTGTGCATCACACTAACATGTACAATAATTTATACAGATCTTCATTGGTTTTGCACCAGTTGTCTTTTATTTGTGACCACATGTTTTTGTCTGACCTGTAATGATTCTCTCGTCTTTCTTCCAGGGAATGTGGTTAATATTCAGACTGGCCAGTGGGTGGGCAAGCAGAGCGGTCTGGGCGCCGGCATGGACTCATTTTATGAGTACCTCCTCAAGTCTTACATCTTGTTTGGAGAGAAAGAAGACTTTAGGATGTTCACTGCAGCCTATGAGAGCATTCAGAGCCACCTGAGAAGAGGGTGATTATAAACATGTGCAAGCGTGACCACAGTTGCTTGTGGTGGAAGTTTGAGCTTAAAAAGTTTGCATGTGGGGGTTTAACCAACTGCAGATAAAGTGTGTCACTTGGGATCTGTGGTTGTGCATGTTATTGTTTACAGCCAATGAGTGGATTGCTTGCAAGTACGTCTATTATAAGCATTCTTGTTTAGTTATGGAAGTTTCATTATGATAGATTGAGGTTTGAACTGATATGCTAAGGGTTTTGTCAGTTTTTTAGAACTACATCATGTTGATGTTTTAAAGTTTTTAACTTTAAAGCATAACATTTCCATAATATGTTTGCAGATATTAAAGAAAAATGCTAAGTAAACATTCTTGTTTATCTAAAAAACAATGCTACAGATATCCTGCTTAGAAAATGTCCATTATTTCCCGGAACATCTGTTTTTGTTTTGGTCCCTTTAACTCGCCCTATGCCAGTTTAGCCAATTTTATTTTAGCCCCTCGGTTTAACTTTCATACATTCAGTGAAGAAGGTCTCTCAAAGTATGCATCTACAACCAAAATGCGGCTCCCGGTGGATTAGTAGCAGCCTCCGAAGTGAGACGCAAATTCAGAGTTCCACATGAAGTGGATATTAATTAGAAAATAATATAAATATTACGAACATAAACATTAGGTGAGCAGGTTACATTGTAGCCCCTAGTCATAACTACATGCTGACGCTATGTGACGATATTTGCAATGATAAGCAATTTGGCTGTTTGCACCAGACAAAACATGACATAAATTTAAATACAGCCTTTCAGGAGCACAGAAGCGTGCGCTTACTGCACCTCAAATGAAACGTTAGGTTTATGCTGTTGCTTTTAGTTGGAACATGATTTAAATGAGCCTTAAATCAGCCTTTAGGCTCGATAGTCAGGCTCGCTCCTGTTGGTGTCGTCAATCTGGCAACCTGCTTTTGCATGTGTTTTAAACAAGACATGCAATACCTAGTGCAACCACTGGGTGTCAAACTTGCTTACTTCACCTTTAATACTTAATTACTAATTATTTGTAAAAACACTATAAAGCTTTTGCAATGTAATGTGTATTTATATAGCACATTTATTGTGTATGGCCATACACCCAAATCGCTTCACAATCATGAGGGGGAGGTTTCTCCACACCACCACCAGTGTGCAGCATCCACTTGCATAAAGCTTTGGTTGACATACAATTTTTTTAAGTGTGCCCCTATTAATTATTTTGCAGAAGAGAGGCGTGTAATGAAGGAGAAGGTGACCCACCACTCTATGTGAATGTGAACATGTTCAACGGACAGATCATGAACACATGGATTGACTCTCTGCAGGCATTCTTCCCTGGACTACAGGTCGTAAACATGTCGACTTATCTCTCTTTTTATATGTCTATATATTTATATGTCTAATTTATTAGTATTTACTCATACTTATAATACCAGATTAGCAGTTATGCTCTTATTTTTTTTTTTTCAAACAGAGTTAGCTCAATCTGCATTCTCTAAGTATGATCTATAGGTATGGAATGAGCTTCAAGATAAACTACATATGAATTCAGTACCATCTATCGCTATATTTAGGTGAAGTTTCACAAAGTAATTTCGAGAGGAGCACGTGATATGATTGCTCGCGGCTGTCTCCCATCCGTAATCATTAGTAAGCCAATCAGATTATTCCAAACTCACTATAAAGACCCCGTCCAGTATTACTCTCTTGTATTTATTTTGAAAGAATCTCTCCATGCACTCCATCTACCCCTATTCTCCTTTACCAGGGGCAGAGATGTATAGTAACGAAGTAGAACTACTTCACTACTGTACTTAAGTACTAAAAGGCAGTATCTGTACTTTACTGGAGTATTATTTTTTTCTCCTACTTCCACTTTTACTTAAGTACATATTTTCCATGAGCTTAATACTTTTACTCCGATAGATTTTTTATGTGCTGCATCGTTACTCGTTACTATGAGTGTCAAAATGATTGATATCAGTTCAGTAATAATAGGTCATAACCGGTGATTACGTGATGACGTCATTTATCTCCTATGCACGATGTCGCAATACTATGGCGAAGGACGGAGGCGCGAGGGTGAGAGAAGGCGGCACAGCACTCCAGTCGCTAGTTTACTGTTAGGGAGAAATGTTGTAAAACTTCACCTCTGCCTATCTCTCGCTCTCTCACTTTGGACATTTGACCCGCTGGCCTGTTTGTAAGGTAACTTTTCCTTTCTTCTCAGCTGTTGAAGCTGAGAATCCAGACATGAGCGTGCCTCATGTGCAATTAAGTTTTCTCCACTGTGTCTATTACCTGTGATAATCGCGTATTTTTCCCGCCATGGGTGAACAGCGCTTATATTTCTAAAGCCCTTTCTGTTGAGGACAATAACCAATCATAGCCGTGTAAGACCCGCCTGTCAGCGCTCAATAAGCAGGCGGGATAATATTGACATGAGTTTATTAGCTGTAAATGCTCGTGCTGTCTTCTGTGCATGAGTTTTGTTTGATACATCCAGAAAGAGTGTTTTCTTTGAGCAGGTCAAATTAAGGGCACAGCTCGTATATCTAACTGCTGTATTAAAGGACAAAATTTTATTACAAAAAACCCTTTAACTGACACACCAAGACAAAAGCAATAGAATTTCTTTGATTGCATTTCTTAACTCCTAATGTCGCTAGTTAACACAATCAGTGTATTTTTATTCAACACATCACATTATTTCTAAAATATCAGCCTCTACCAAATGGTTGAGATGTTGGTTTATGGTAAAAGTACCAGAATTAATAAATATACTACAGAAAATATGAACTGTAAGACCAATTTCATTAAAAACATGATAAAAATAAATAACAATTATTACTAAATCATAGCCATAAGCCATAAAATATTTCAGATTTTCATTTAACACAGTAATATACACATTTTCCTGTTTTTTTTTTTTTTTTTACAATAAAATCAAAATAAAGTGAATTAGTGAAGCAGGATTTAGTTTGCTTGTTTAGTTTAGTTTCACGAGTGCTTCCAGAAGACAGAACTCCTGTTCATTGTAGTATTAACCAATCAAACTTCAAAACTCCCAAAGTGTGAGTGAATAATGTGTAAGAGAAAACAACAGTGTGATTGTACCTGTGTGTGCGTCTGTGTGTGCGTCTGTGTGTGTGTGTGTGTGTGTGTAAGAGAGAGTGTAAAAACAATTGCAACCTATGTAATGTCCCCACAATTCACAAAAATGTGTGTGTGAGAGAGAGATAGAGAGAGAACTGTGTGTGTGAGAGTGTATGAATGTGTGAGAGTGGGGAGAGAGTGTACATTTAGGTGTGTGCAGGGCAGTGTGTGTGTTTGTGTGTGTGTGTGTGTGAGAGAGAGAGAGAGAGAGAGTATGTATGTGAGTGAACATGCTTAATTATCTCATCAGTGAAGGCATTTTCTGGTAAAAGGGCCTGACGATGTGAGCTCTTTTACCATAGAAACTATTTACAGAGAAAAACAGTATCATAAGCCATGTTTCTTTTCATTCTGCTTAAGTACCCCAAAAAAGATATTTAAAATAAACAAAACAATTAGTGTATTTTGACTGCTTTCTTTAATAACTACAGTACACAATACTTGTACTTTT